AGTGAAACTCCATCTCAAAAACCAACCAACGAAAACTGGACCCCAGGTAGATGTATCTGGAGGGCCACTCCCTCCACACCTCCCTTGTCGCTCAAATGTGGGTAAAAGGGTTTGGACGCTGAGTCTGCTTGCCCTTCACTTCCTCCAGGTGGAACTAGAGCGGCCACGTGGAATCCACCCCGCACCCTGCGACAGTCAAAACCTACCTATCAATCAGTGATGACTGCAGAAAAATCAACATCAGGAGGGGGAAGTGTGAAAGTTGTCAGAATAAAAAGGGAGTCACTTCTGTTAAAACAAATACCAACCAAAGAAACCCTGGCAAATGGCAAATAGAGGCAGGAAAGGACAAGAAGGGAGGGTTCTCGGCCTGATGCCTAATAGAAGACTGTCACAAAAGACCGCACGAAGGCCACCCAGCCTCACACAAAAACACGTCTGTGAGGACGTCTGCCCAGCGACTGCCTGCCCACCTCGAACCGGTTCACCCTTGGTTATCGATCCCTGTCACCAAGGATAGTTGTCTCCAAACAATGATGTGATCCTCACTTTTTATTTAAAAATCTGCTTTTGCTTACCTCCCTGAATCTGCACGGAGCTTTCCGTGGCCGGGGTGTTCCCACCGAGATGCTCTCTTCCTGAATAAACACCGTTTGCTTCCAGAGCGCATGCACTGCTCTTGGGGGTGACAGTGCCCTCTCTGCCTCCTCCCTCCCTCATATCCCGGACGAAATCCATCAGCGACTCCTGCATGCTCCATCTCCCCAGATGAGTCCCCCATGCAGGGGAAGTGAATCCGGGGTGAGGGCTGGTGGGGGTCCCGACTGATAAGAGTCAGTAGTAGAGGGTCTGTGGGTACATCTGCTCCCGAAGGAGACGGTCCCTCAGACGTTGTCACAGATGGAACCCAAGGCAGGCATGAGGCAATGGATCTGGCCTCTCTGGGATCCCTGAGGGGAGCGTCCAGATGCCCCAACCCAAATGTTGCCCTACAGGGCCCAGAACCCGAGTGAGTGTGGAGGGCACGGGTTGTGCATGCTGGGTGATGGATTCATTTCCGGAGCCTCCTGCTATCACTACTGGTACCAGATTTACGCTGACCACTCCTGTACACCCAGCTAGACTTCGGCTCTGAGCTCCGAGTCCAGGACTGGAGGGCTGACATCTCAAACTTACAGTTACCAAGAGGGACCCACAGCTGGCGAGCCACTCTCCCTGCACCCCTTCACTTTCTCATGCCTGAAGGTGGCCCCTGTGGGCACCCAGCTCCTCCTTTCCAATTCTTTCTTGTTTTTTTTGAGAGGAAGTCTTCCTCTGTTGCCAGGATGGAGTGCAGTGGCATGATCTGGCTTACTGCAACCTCCGCCTGCCAGGTTCAAGCGATTTCCTGCCTCAGCCTCAATCTCTTGACCTTGTGATCCGCCCGCCTTGGCCTCCCAGGGTGCTGGGATTACAGGCATGAGCCACTGTGTTCCGCCTTCAGTTCCTCCTTTCCATGCAGCCCACCCCCAACGGCCAACCACCCCACCTCCCGCTGGCCGGCTGCAGAAGCCTTCCCGCAGTGTGCCCCCTTTGCTGCTTCTACCCAGTGCCTGGGCTACCTGAAGCCCCGGGGAAGCAGCTGTTCCCTGGGCCCCGGCTGTGTGGCTGCCCCTCTTGTCTGGCATTCCCCACCGGCTGTGGTTTCAGCTGCACTGGCCTCTCTCTTTGCCTGCCCCGCTGTGCGTCCTGTGCCCCTAGGCCCCTGGCAGTCATGTTTCCACACTTATGTGTGCTGTCGAGACATCTGGTGCCATCCTAGATGCTGAAGATTTGGCAGGGGGGGCAAGAGAGACACAGACTCCTGTCCCCAGGGCCTCACTCATCAGTAAGAAGACACAGTCCCGAGGCTCTCACCCACAGCACGCAACAACCGCATGGTCAGATGCTTCTCCGTGGACCTGTCCTGCATATGGCAGGAGTTTTAGCGGCACCCCTGGCCTCTACCCACTAGAGCAGACTGCCCCAACAGTCGGGACAACCCAAAATGTCTCCAGATACTGCCCGGTCTCCTCAAGGGCAAAACTGCCTCCCCTCCCCGCACTGCCCCCGAACACGACTGGACACAATAAACAAGCCACAACTTCAAGAAAGTGCATAGTTGAGAAGGTGAGAAAAATGAAGACAGGGTGGGTGCTGGTGTGGCTGAATGCCTGTGTCCCCCAACACTCCCACGTCGACGGCCTGGCCTGGAGCACGCTGTGTTTGAAGATGGGGCCTCTAAGGTAGTAACTCAGGTTAAATGAGTCACAAAGGTGGGGCCCTTATCCATGGGATGAGTGTCCTCCCAAGAGTGAAGGAGCTCGGGCTCTCTCTGAGCACATGCGCTTAGGAAGAGTAAGACGTGGCCCCCGCAGGCCCAGAACAAGGTTCTCACCCCAAGTGGGAGGGGTTGGCCCGTGGGTCTTGGACTTCTGGTCTCCGGAACTGAGAAAGTAAATTTCCGTTGTCTCAGCCCCCAGGTCTGCGGTGATTTGTTATGGCTACTCATGCAGACTCAGACAGGTGGGCTGGCATGGTGGCTTGGGACAGGGTGGGGGGAAGACACCAGCGAGCCTGGAGGTGGGAGAAGCCCTGGCCATCTGCAGGACCGGCGGGTCTCAGCTGAGGGAGGCTTGCAGTCCAGGCCCAGCAGGAGGCCCAGCAACTGGGCAGGGGAACGGGTGGGGCAGGTTGGGAGAGGACAGGGGACCTTGAGGGCCCTGAGCCGTGTCAGGGCTTACACTTCCATTGGCGGTGAGATGGGAGCTGTGGAGCCTCGTGCCCGGGGGGCAGCACTGGATGTGGTCCCAAAGGCCCCTCTGCACTCACAGCAGCCAGGGGGCTTTGAACGTACTCAACGCCGCTGAGCCGCACGCTCAAAACTGGTTAACATGGGAAGTTTTACGTACACTTTACCAACACTTTAAAATAAAGGTCTCCTGACTGCCTTGTGGAGACTGGACCGCAGGGGCCTGGAGGCAGTGAGACAGTGAGGTGGCGACTCTGCAAGCGCAGGTAAGGGGCTGGGACCAGGGCCAGAGAGGCGCGGGGCGGAGAGAAGGACTCCCGTGGCTGCGGGGTTGGCGCTGACAGGGTTTCTGGAAGGGTGGCTGTGGGCTCAGGGAAGGGGACGTGGAAAGGTGGGGGACAGGTACCGCCCAGCGACATGGGGCAGGAGCAGGGACAAATGGGAGGGAGGAGACCCTGACCCGACAGGAGCGGGCTGGACACGGAAACCGGCAGGCGCTGAACGGCTGGAGAGGTGCGGGCCACCGAGGGGCGCCAGGTGCGTTTTCCTCGGGTGCGGGGGAATGTCGGCCTGTTTGCTGGAGAGAACCCTGGGGTAGCGACTGTGCCTTGGGAGGACGCGGCTGGGCGGGAGCAAAGGTGCGCGTGCGGCCCGAGGGTGCAGCGAGGTGCCCAGGAGAGGAGCGGGGAGGGAGTGCGCGGCGGGCGGTGGCCAGACTGGATCGTGGGACGCAACAGGCCCGCAGGCCCCGGGTGCCGGGGACGGGGAGAAGGCGCGCGAGGCGTGTACGGGGCGGGGCAGTGAGGCCGAAGGCAGCCGGGTGCCATCCAGACCCTGGGGCAGCAGCGAACTCGAGACTCCTGGCGACCCCAGGGCACCGCTGTCCGCAACGCCGCCGCTCGAGGCCCAGTCCGCCCCGCTTCTGGGGAGGCGTTTCCCTTCCCCGCGTGGACGCGGCCGTCTGTGGGCGGTGAGGGCAGGGGGTGGCGGGAGCAGGTCACCAGCGGGCGCGGCGTGGGACGGATGGGGAGAAGGACACCTGCGGCCCGGCGCGTCCTCGGAGCGCACGTCTCACCCAAGGCTCCGCGGCCGGCGACCGCGCTGGACAAGCCGTCTGCGACCCTCGCCCCACCAGGGGACCGCGGCCGCCTGCTCCGGGCTCGGGGCTCCGGATGAAGAAGAGCGCGGAGATGCGCACTTGCCCAACGCTCGGCCCCGCCTGCGTGTCTGCGCGCTGGGGGTGGAACGCACCCCTGAGGCTGCACCAGGTCCCGAAGCCCGGCGTCAGCTCCACATGGAGCAGGCAGTGGCGGTCACGGGCACGCTCCCCCACCTCACCCCGCCGTCCCACCCCCGCTCAGGGTCGCGCAGGGGCGGCTGTGACAGCGCGAGAGGCAGGAGCTTCAGCGGCCCCAGCTTGTGCGGGGAAGACCACCCCCCAGAGGCTCGCGCGGACTGGACGCCAGAGGCTGGGGGTGCTGCGTGGCTAGCGGGGCGCCTCCCGGGAGGGGGCCTGGCGGGGGTGTGGCTCGTCCCGGAGCTCCCAGCCGCAGCGCAGGTGGGGGCGCCTTCTGCGGAGGCCACGGGCTCGGTCGGCGTGGGGCTGGGACCATCCGTCCCAGGGGGCCCGGGGCCCAGACAAGCACTTGCGGGCGCCCTCGGGGGCCACTGGCGGCACGTGGCTCTAAGGCGAACAGCCCTGAGTTCACGGGGCTGAAACCGGCACAGAAAGGCCGAGGACCTGTGCTCGGGGCTCCCGGCAAGCGGTTCTCCGGGCTCGGAGGACACCGGGAGGGGGCAACCGGGAGGGAAGGAGCAGGCTGGTGACCCCCTGACGCCCGAGGATCGCGGCGAGGCTGGGCCAAGGAAAGGCCGGCCGGGAGGGGGCAGATCCCTGGAGCGGATTCCCCGGGCCAGCTTCCTCCTCTGGGCGCTGCGAGGCCACCAGCCCGCGGTCGGAGGCCACGCGTTTCCGTGCACCGCTGCCGCCCCTCGCGAGCACCGATCGGCTCCCTCGGATCGTCCGCCACCCGCCGAGCTCCAGCCACAGATTTCCCACTTCCTCAGCTTTGTTCCCGCCGGTCTCGCTCCGGCGCCGCCTCCTCCAGGCAGCCCCTCTAGACTGCATTGGCCGTGGGCCCGGACGCTGCTCCCGGATGCGGCCCCGGGCCAGGGCTGGGCGCACCGGGGTCCCGGAGCATCCCAGGTGCCTTTAAACCGGCCGCTCGCGCAGTCTCGGGTTTCCATGACGACGACGTCGGAGGGGAACCCGGGCGGGGTTGGGTCGGAGCGCATGCGCGGTGCGCGCGGGACGCGGAACGTCTCCCCGAGTGGCCCGCGTTGCTGGTCCCGGGGAACCTGTACCGCGGTAAGGGCGGGGGTGCGGGCGTCCGAATGGGGGGTTTCGAGATCCGGGGCGCGGGCTGGAGACTCGCTGGACCTGGGGACAAGCGTACTGGGGTCGGGGAGCCGGGGCTGGGGTGGGAGGGTCCAGGGCTCCGGGGCCTGGGGCGTGGACGAGGGTAGTGGGGCCCGCGGGAGGGACCGGGCTCACGGGCCTGGGGTGGGCGCCGCCGACCCCCGACTGGCTTCAGGGCGGCCCCGTTCCCTCCGCTGGCCATGGCCCCCCCGCCCGCGTGCCGGTCCCCGATGTCGCCGCCGCCGCCGCCGCCGTTGCTGCTGCTGCTGCTGAGTCTGGCGCTGCTGGGCGCCCGGGTCGGTGCCGAGACCGCCGGGAGCGCCGTCCCCGCGCAGAGTAGGTGCGGGGTCCCGGGGTCCGGGGAGCGGGGCGGGGCTGTGCTAGGGGCGTGCGGGCCGGGGCCCCTCGGGGAGGACCGCGCCTCGCCTTTGTTCCCGGGAGCGGGTCCTCCCCTTCTCCGGAGATGGTGGCGTGGGGAGTGGGGACGTGCGCTCTGCGGCTCTGGGTGGACCGGCCTAGGGTGCGAGGGGGCCTTGCGGGTGACCCCCTCTGCACCCTCTCCACCCTGGCCCGCACCCCCCAGGCCGCCCATGCGTGGACTGCCACGCCTTCGAGTTCATGCAGCGCGCCCTGCAGGACCTGCGGAAGACAGCCTGCAGCCTGGACGCCCGGGTGAGTGCCCGCGGCGCGACGGTCCTCGCGGGCTTCCCGGGGCTAGGGAGGGCAGGGAGGATGCGGAGGAGGCACCCTTGGGGAGTGGAGGGTCCCTCAGGCTTCACCCCTGATTTAAGACCCCGCACCTTCCCCTGGCTGGCCCCAGTCATCTTAGGGACATTCTAGACACCCGTCTCGCCTATGAGACCCCCCCATCTCCAGCATGCTCTATTTCTAGCCCCTCCCCCAGAAGGCCCTCACCGGGCGTTTTGTCCTGTGAGCGCCACTCCTGAGGGCTGTGACAGACCTGGACCCTGGGAAAGGACTATCAGTCCAATCCAGGATCTTCTTCTAGGTGGGGAGAGGCCCTGGGACAGAGGAGAAACTGAGGCCAGGAAAGAGGATGTGGCCAAAATCTCAGGAATGGGGGTCAGGCTGGGAAGGGCGGCCTGAATCTTGTGTGGGTGCACAGGTTGGCCAAGGCCCCCTCCAAGCCTGGATAAACAGGACCCTCAGGCCGTGGGTGCAGCTAAAGAGTTCTTGTCCGTGCCAGCGCTTGTGCTTTTTCCTGGAAAGGGAGAATTCCAGGAGAGAGAAAGCAGGGAAGACCCTGCCTGGTTCCACCCCCACCAGCCCTACTGACCTTCTTCGGAACATTCCAAGGGGCTCAGACTGAGACCTGGAGCCCTCTCCCCCTCATGGAGCCTGGAGCTGGGCTTTTGGGAGGAGCCCTTGGGCATGAGGGTGGGAGGGAGTGGGAGACAGCGGACCCCTGCGAGTGGTGTGGGAGCTGGAAGAAGGCAGGCGGGCACTTGGGTGTGGTGTGGGCACCTGCAGACCCCAGGCAGGCCCTGTCAGTGGGAGCCACCGCAGAGGGAAGGGAAGGCCAAGAGAAGGCTGGGAGGCTCTGGGTGTGGGGGTTAGAGCCAGGACCTCACCTTGTCTGTCTCAGGAGCAGGTGGAGATGGGGCTGCCTTGGCTGGGCGGGGGCCCGGGCAGTGCCCATGGGCAGCTGGGCTGCCCCTCACACCTCTTGTTGCTTTGCAGACGGAGGCCCTTGTGCTGCAAGCCGAGCGCCGTGCTCTGTGTGCCTGCTGGCCGGCCGGGCGCTGAGGACCGTGCCCTGTGTGCCTGCTGGCCAGCCAGGTGCTGAGGACCGTGCTCTGTGTGCCTGCTGGCCGGCCGGGCGCTGAGGACCATGCTGCTCCCTGTCAATAAACGCCCAGCAGCATGCATGTGTCCTTTCTACCTGCTCTGGCCACCATAGCCCCTGCGTCGTTGCCTCCAGCAGTCCTGGGTGGGGCCCCTCTCTGGGCATGGGTTTCCCCAGCTGTTCCACCTGGGCAAGCCCTCTTGGTTGTCCCACATCGGCGCCCATGCGGAGAGGTGGACACACGTGTCCGTCCATAGGGCCCTGTGCTTCCTCAGACCTGCTCCCCTGCCTGCCTGCCCTTGTTTTGAGGCTGGAGAAGTGTAGAAGTTGGCCTGAGCCCCCTGAGTCCCCAGAGCAGCTGCCCCAGGGCTGAGCCCCTCCAGGGTCCTGCACCGCTGAGCTGGTGGACCAGGCTGCCTGAGGCTCCTGGGGAGAGAGGACAGGGCCACCCCCCACAGCCTCAGCTCCCACCCACTGCCCTGAGCCTGGTTCCTGGTCACGGGGGAGCCCTGGATGGGAAGTTGATGTAGCCACACTCCCATCCACACACCTGTGTACACAGGGCCCAAGTGGCCTTCAGGTGAAGCAGACACCTCCCTCTTTCCATTCATTCTGTAAATGCTTTTTCAGTAAAAGTAGAGCCTTTTATTGAAGTCATGCAGGCACATGGTTAGAAACAAAATCATGGCAACAGCAGGCTGGAGGTGACTGCCATGTGCCCTCAAGATGAGGCCACTGGGGCTTTGGTTCCCTGGCCCTGGTGCTTCAGCCTGGCACTGGAGGAGCTGGATGTGCCTGGTATCTGCAGTGAACAGAGTCCCCCCTTGGAGCTGGCACACGTGGAGCGACTGAGTCAGGTGTCCAGCTAGGAGGATATCTCTCCCTCTGCTGCAGGCCAGGGAGAGCAGGGCTCTGGGGTCACTGCAGGCCCCAGGCAGGGTGGCGAGTAGGGCAGGAACCAGCACCTGCTCAGAGGTGGGGAGGCTGAGCCTTCACTTTAGGGGTGTGGCCTGGGCAGTGCTCACATCCCATTGGCCGGTCTTCCTCATGTGGCCTTACTATCTGCAAGGGAGGTCAGGAACGTAGCCTTATTTCTCGGCTTGGATTGCTGGATTTAGTCAAGTCCAGGAACACCCAAATTCTTGTCTGTCGCTGCAGTGTTAGGGATTCCTCCCACTACATATTGTTTATCCAAAATCCAAATATAACTGTGTCCTATGTTATGGGCAGCTGTGAGCCCTGGCATGAGGTGAGGTCTCCAGTACCAGAAAAGACGGTTTCTGGAGCACACGTGTCATGGAGCCCTGGGGAGGTACCCTCTGGGATACAGTGGGGGCATGAGCCAGGCTCGGGTATGGGGTGCTGGGTGAAGAGGCCTCCCCCTAGCCCTTGTGGGGCTGGGGTAAGGACAAGAGTTTGGAGACAGGAGCTTCTGGCTTCGGGTTTGGAAGGGACTTGGAGGCTTAGGAGGGAGTGATGGCAGCTGCCAGACTGAGGAGGAGTGGCCGCACGGCAGCAGAGGCCACTGGATTCCAGGTGTGTTTGCAAGTAGAGCCTGTGGGATTTGGGTGGGGGGTGGGAGTGGTCACTGGGGTCCGGGAGGCCACTGGGCAGGTATACCTGGAAAAGGAGCTGGAGAGGGAAGGCTGGGATCCCCGTGGCCTGTTAGGGGCTAGAGGAGAGAAGGGGGCCCTGAGGGGCAGTGAGCAGCTGTGAGGCAGGAAGAGAACTGAGCTGTGTCCGGGCAGCCACAGGTGTGTCTCAATCCCCTGAGGCCCAGCAAGGCCCAAGAAGACCACAGGGTCCATGAGGGGCGGGAAAGGCCTGAGAGGAGGGAGCTTGGCCTTAAGTGTGGGCAGGGCCAGTGCCATTCACACTCAGTCCTGGAGCCACAACGCTGCTTTCCAGCCAGGGCTCAGCAGCTCAGGGATGAGTCAACCCTGGCATGGCCGAGCAGTGACCGGCACTGCAGTCTCTTTCTGGTACACCTTTTCTTTTCCTGCACCTGATGCTTGCCTGGTCTTCCCGCATTCCACCCTCTCCAGCGTCAGGGCATCCGCTTGGTCCAGGGCCTCTCCCTGTGTTCCCTGCCAGGCCCTGCCCTCTTCCCAGCCAGCTGGGCAGGGGAGCCACCTTTCCCTACATCCTATGCCCTCTTCTTCCTGCTGCCGTGTGGAAAAGCATGTGGGAAGGATGCTGTGTCCACCTGTCTAGAAGGCAGCTGCTGCCACAGTCCATCTGCAGGTCCCCCTCCCACCACACGGCCTATCATGCGCCTCAGCACTGACGCATCCCTTGCCCCCTGACCAGACTCACTCTGCAGCCCTGTGTCCCTCTTTAATTGATTAATTTTTGAGAGAGGATCTTGCTCTGTTGCCCAGGCTGGAATGCAGTGGCCCAATCACAGCTTCCTGCAGCCTCAACCCCACGGGCTCAAGCAATCTTCCCCCTGGCCTCCTGAGTAGTGGGGCCCACAGCACAGGTGCCCTGGCCCACAGGGTCCCCGGCGCCCGCCGCTGCACCAGCCATGCCTTTTCTTCGAAGCATTTATTCCTAAGGGGTCCTAGGTGTTTGTTTCTTTCCTGTCAGCCCACCACCCCACACTGGCTTGTGCAGCCCAGGAGGGTGAGAGCTGCACTCCAGCCTGGGCTACAGAGCGAGACTCCATCTAAAAAAATGAAAAAAAAAAAAAAAGAGAGAAAAGAAAAAAATATATTGATATAAGAGTTCAAAATTACTTCCTAGGCTTTTCACGAAAACTGAGGCTACGGACTTAAATTTGTAGTTAATGCATTCTGGGAGGCTGAGGCAGGCAGATCACTTGAGTCCTGGAGTTTGAGACCAGCTTGGGCAATGTGACAAAACCCCGTCTCTAAAGAAAATACAAAAATTAGCCAGGCATGGTGGTGCGTGCCTGTAGTCCCATCTATTTGGGAGGTGGAGGCTGTAGTCAGCCAGGATCACATCATTGCACTCCAGCCTGAGCAACAAAAGACCCTGTCTCAAAAAAAAGTGTAGTAGTGGCCGGGCACCATGGCTCAAGCCTGTAATCCCAGCACTTTGGGAGGCCGAGGCGGGTGGATCACGAGGTCAAGAGATTGAGACCATCCTGGTCAACATGGTGAAACCCCGTCTCTACTAAAAATACAAAAAATTAGCTGGGCATGGTGGCGCGTGCCTGTAGTCCCAGCTACTCAGGAGGCTGAGGCAGGAGAATTGCCTGAACCCAGGGGGCAGAGGTTGCGGTGAGCCGAGATCGCGCCATTGCACTCCAGCCTGGGTAACAAGAGTGAAACTTCGTCTCAAAAAAAAAAAAAAAAAAAAAATTGTAGTTAATATATGCAAGTAAAACTACTATAAAGGCCTGTGCTGTGGCTCATGCCTGTAACCCCAGCACTTTGGGAGGCTGAGGCGGGTGGATCACAAACTCAGGAGTTGAAGACCAGCCTGGCCAACATGGCGAAACCCTGTCTCTACTAAAAATACAAAATATTAGCGAGGCATGATGGTGGGCACCTGTAATCCCAGCTACTCGGGAGGCTGAGGCAGAATTGCTTGAACCCAGGAAGGGGAGGTTGCGGTGAGTTGAGATGGCGCCACTGCACTCCAGCCTGGGCAACGGTGTGAGACTCCATCTCAAAACAAAGAAACTGAGGGAAAACAAGAACAACGACTAGATATGGAAGAATTCTGGACACAGGGCAGATAAGAAGAATAGGTTATGTTTTTGGCAAGGATGATAAAGAAGGCATGAGAATGTGATTTTCATTTTGGGAAGAATAAATTTGTCCAGAGGTTTTTAAAGATTAAGTTGAAGGGATAAAAAAGAATGACAGATAAAAGCGAATGGGTGTAGAAAGTCGTGGGAAGAGAGAGAATGGGGGAAAATCGTGAGAGGTCATAACAGATGTATTGGCTGGGCATGGTGCCTCATGCCTGTAATCCCAGGACTTCTGGAGGTCGAGGTGGAGGGTCACTTGAGACCAGGAGTTCCAGACCAGCCTGGACAACATGGAGAAACGCCGTGTCTCTCTGGAAAAGAAAGAAAAAAGAGCCTTTTCACAAGATGGCACCGAAGTGAAGAAAGGAGCTCCTAGAGCCAGAGCAAAGGCTTCAGAGGCAAAGAAGGCAGTGCTGAGATGTGTCCACGGCCACAAAAAAGAGAGGATGCACACATCACGTCACCCACCTTCCGGTGGCCCAAGACACTGTGACTCCGGAGGCAGCCCAAACATCCCCGGAAGAGCGCCCCGGGAGAAACAAGCTGGGCACTGTGCTGTCATCAAGTTTCCGCTGACCACCGAGCCCGCCATGAAGAACACAGAAGACAACAGCACACTTGTATTCACTGTGGACGTGGAAGCAACAAGCGCCACATCAAACAGGCCGTGAAGAAGCTCAGTGACACTGATGTGGCCCAGGTCAGCACCCTGATTCCGCCTGATGGAGAGAAGGCGTGTGTTCCACTGGCTCCTGATGACGATGCTTTGGACGTTGCCAACAAAATTGGGATCATCTGAACTGAGTCCAGCTGGCTAATTCTAAATATATGTGTATCTTTTCACCAAAAAAAAAAAAAAAAAGAAAAGAAAGAGGAAGAGAGAGAGAGAGAGAGGAAGGAAGGCAGGGAGAAAGAGAAAGAGGCAGGAAGGAAGACTGATGGACATCTTACCTCACATATGTAAAGCTGGTTGGGATGGAGGGATTGGTGTCCCCCTGTGCCTGCAGCCCTCCTCTGTCTTCTGGACTGTGGAACGCTCAGGTGGGATAAAAGAAAACCCATCTGCAAAGCTAACACTAACTTCGAACCCTCCCTGGCCGAACGTGCTGCCGCTGTGGGATCTACCCTGTCTGGAAAATATCAGCTTTCTCTCTTTGAAGGAACAGCAGGAGGGCGCTGTGCCTAGAGGAAGGAGCCTCCAAAGCAGCTCCCCTTAAAGGTGACATTCTTCATTACTGCCAAGACCCCACAGAGCTTCTCCATGCACATTCTACATTCACGAAGGATTCTTTAACAGCAAGCTCCCAGGAGGCGAGGCCATCAAAGATCAAGGTCTCCGACCTGGAGATTTTATGAGAAAAGCATCTAATATAGGACTTCCTCCAGCCGCAATAGATGGGGCCACACCGGGCAGCCTTTCGGGAGAGGATTCATCCCTGGAGGACCTCAACACCTCGTTCTTCAGGCCAGGACCAGAAGGAGACAAAACAGGTCTGGTCACCTTCAGAAATAGCACTCTTCAGTTCTGGACTTCAAATTGTTAAAAGTTGCCCTTATTTGTGCCACATTTTCATTCTTTTTTTCTTTTTTTGAGGCGGAGTCTTGCTGTGTTGCTCAGGCTGGAGTGCAGTGGCATGATCTCGGTTGACCACAACCTCTGCCACCCAGGTTCAAGCGATTATCTTGCTTCAGCCTCCCAAGTCGCTGGGAGTACGGTGCCCGCCGCCACGTGGGTCCGGCTACTTTTTGTATTTTTAGTAGAGGCGCAGTTTCACCATGTTGTCCAGGCTGATCTCAAACTCCTGACCTCAAGTGATCTGCCTGCCTCGGCCTCCCAAAGTGCTGGGATTACAGGCCTGAGGCACTGTGCCCACCGCAGGATGCTAGCTAGCTGCTCAGAAGCCGCCCAGCACGTGTGGCTGGCTCCTCGGGAGCAGATGGCCTGGCAGACCCCGTGCCAATCCACTTGGCCTTTAGGCCTCATGATGTCCAAAGCAGCCACCACACCTCTCCTCTTCCCCACCCTCGCGGGGTGAGATGGCCCGGGAATGAGCCTTCCCAGCAGAAAAACATACATCAGAAGAGAAAGATTTTTATCAAAGATGAGAAATGAGAAAAGAAAAACAGCCTAGAGCACCCGGAGCTACGTAGAGCACCCAACGATGGTCTGGTCCACAGAGACCCGAGTGTGGGACTCCAGTCCGCCTCCCCCCATGCCCGGGCAAGTGTTTGAAGGCATTTCCTTCTTCCCTGCAGTGTCCGCCTGGCCGCCTCAGTGTCATCTTCATGTTCCTGGAATTTGTGACACAATAACAATGAATGCCAATCAATATTGCTTATGTTATTTCAATGCAAATTCTCGGTGAACTTCGGAGCTGCGTCTTCATTTTTCCTTTAAAAACGCACTTCTAACTGCGGTGGGTGAGCGCGAGCGCATTCGGAGCAGCTGGAGTCTGTGCTTCCAGGCTGCAGTCCCCAGACTTGGCCCCAACACTCCACTTCTATTAGTTTTGCCTGTTTTCCCCTTTAGATTGAAAAGCTGACAGCGGGCCCCAGACATGGAGGGGCCGCCTTCCTAGCTCGTCTTCCCTCCGCCCCCCCCCACCCCACCAGGGCGCTGCGGCCCCACTCCCACGTCCACTGGCAGGCCCGGCCCCTCCTGGCCGCCAGGTGACCTCAGCCGCCCCATTGGCCCCAAGTCCACCGCACACCGCAGGCTGCGCGTCCCCGGGCCTGGACGCCTGGACCCCGGGCCCCGTCCCTCCCGCGCAGCTCCGACAGCCTTCGGGGTGGTGCTGGGAGGCGGCGCAGAACTGCGGGGGGCTGGGTTCGCGAAGCGGCGGGGACCGGGTCGGCGGCCGCCATCCGCACCTGAGCTCCTCCGCCCCAGCCTGCGGCGTCTGCAGGTCCCTCTCGGCGCTGAGCCCCCGCTGCACCTGCACCAAGGCCACGGGGCGCATGCGCGGCCGCGGGGGGCTGGGGCCTGACCGGGAGGGGTCCTGCGGGCCCCGCATCCCCGCGCCCACTGCGGGACTCGCATTGGGGGGCGCCGCGCCAGGCTGCAGACCCCGCCCTTCCGCGTCCCCACCCCGGCGGCCCGTGCGGCTCCCGACAAGGCTTCCCGGCGGCTCTGGGCCGGGGCAGCCTCGGGGCCCCCTCTCCAGGTCCACTGCGGGCGCCGCGCTCAGACAAAGGCGGGAGACGGAGGGGGCGCCGCTGCCGTGACTGCTCCCGGCGGCCGCGGAGGAGGAGGACGACTTGGCGCTGCGGCCGGGCCAGGGTCGGGGAGCTCCCAGGCGCGCGGCGTGGGAGCAAGGGGCGGGGCGGGCGGCGCCCATCACGCGCTCCGCGGCCCAGTCCCGAGCCCCGCCGGGCGCCCCTCGGGCCGGGCGCCCCCGCCCCCGCCCTCCGCTCCCCTCGCGCTCCCCTCGCGCTGCCCGGCCGCCCTGTCGCGCCCGGAGAACCCCCCGGCGGGTGGGGCGGGGGCGGCGTCTGCCCCCACCCCCGCGATCACATGGTGACCCCCGGCAGCCAATGCAGTGGACGCTAGGACCCTGCGGGCCGCGGGCGCCGCGACTGCACCGGCGCCGCCGCATTATAAATACTTCTCCAAAATGCGGCGCAGCTCCCTGCGCGCGCCCCGGCCGCCCGCCGCCTCCGCCCCGCGCCCCTGAGCCGCCGCCGCCGCCGCCGCCGCCGCCGCTGCCGCCGCCGCCGCCGCCGCCGCGGGTCCGAGGGCGCCGCGCCCTTGCCCTGGGCCCGGCCGTGCCCGCCTTCGCCCGGCCGCGTCCCCGCGCCGCTCCGCCCGGCCGGGTGCATGCATTGTGGGCCTCCCGACATGGTCTGCGAGACGAAGATCGTGGCCGCCGAGGACCATGAGGCGCTGCCGGGGGCCAAGAAGGACGCGCTGCTCGCCGCCGCCGGCGCCATGTGGCCCCCGCTGCCCGCCGCGCCCGGGCCGGCCGCCGCGCCCCCCGCGCCCCCACCCGCCCCGGCAGCTCAGCCTCGCGGCGGGGCGGGGGGCGCGGGGCCGCCCGGGGGGCGCGGCGTGTGCATCCGCGAGTTCCGCGCGGCCGAGCAGGAGGCGGCGCGCCGCATCTTCTACGACGGCATCATGGAGCGCATCCCCAACACGGCCTTCCGCGGCCTGCGGCAGCACCCGCGTGCGCAGCTGCTCTACGCCCTGCTGGCGGGTCAGTGCGCCGGGCCCCCGCCTGCCGCAGTCCCTCGGGCCGGCGCAGAGCCGCCTCGCCCCGGCGTCCTCCCGGGGACCGGCCTGGGGAAGCCCCCATGTTCTGCCGCGCCGGGCTCCGCTCAGGGGGCTGGCCAGGGGCTTGGGGACGGGCGCGGGGCCTCGAGCGGGCGGGAGCCGGGGAGGGTCCGGGGTCCCCACCTGTGTCCCCGCCGCGCAGCCCCCCTCCCCTGTCCCCTCCTGACATCCTGGGTGGGGGCGGGTGCCCTGGCAGGTAGCGCCCGCCGCGGCTGGGGCCCGGCGAGTGCCTAAATATAATCCGCGGGCGGGGGAGGCCGCCTCCCGCTCCGTGCTAATTTATGAGGGGAAGACAGCCGGCGCCTCGGGGGGTGCGCGCGCCTGGCACAGCCGGGGCGGTCGCGGGGGGCGGCTCCCGAAGAGTTTTTCGGTCCCTTCCCATTGAAGCTTCCCGTCGGGGTTGGGGGGGGTTTGCTCCCATTTTGCAGATGAGGAGCCTGAGGCCGCGTGGGGAGGGTACGACTCCCCCAAGGTCACAGCAGCGAAATGCGGCTGGAAGCAGTGTGGGGTCTCCCTGCTCTGTCCCTGCCCTCGCAGCGCCCGGAAGCTGCCTAGGAAGGGCTCTGGCTGGGGTCCTGGGACAAGGGGGCCCGGGAGCCCGGTGCTGGAACTGGGATCCCCTCCCGCCTGCCCCGCGCGGGGCCAGGATCTGCCCATCTTGGCTTCACCAGGGCAGAGTGGGCAGGGCCCCTCCCGGCACCCCGAGGGTGGAGGGCGCGCGCGCCGGGAGCGGGGCTTGGGGCCGCTTTCCCGCCGTTCCGGGCAGGCTGCCGGGGGCAGGAAGCTCAGAGACTCGCCGAGGCTGTTTCCAGGCGGTGGGGACGGGGACGGGGGCGGGGTTGATTTTACCACAGGAAGCTTGGAAATGGGGAGCAGTAGCCAGCACCCGGGATGACCCCCGCTCCTCCATCCAGAGCGTGGCCGGCCGCGGCATCCCCAGTGGGCTTCCCGAACAGCGTCTCCCGGGGCCTGGGGACCCCGCGCCGCGCCGCTGACCCGCGCCCTCTGCCCGCAGCGCTGTGCTTCGCCCTGAGCCGCTCGCTGCTGCTGACGTGCCTGGTGCCCGCCGCGCTGCTGGGCCTGCGGTACTACTACAGCCGCAAGGTGATCCGCGCCTACCTGGAGTGCGCGCTGCACACGGACATGGCGGACATCGAGCAGTACTACATGAAGCCGCCCGGTGAGTCCCCTGCTGCCCCTCCCCGCCCTCCGCCCCAGACCGCCCTCGGGGGCACCCACTCCAGCAACCTTAGGGCAGGCCAGCGCCAGCGTGGGTGGGCCTGGCCCGGGGCCCCTGTGGTCTGAGCCTTCTGGGTGACCGAGGCCTCCGGAGTCAGCAGGGCTGGGGGAGGCAGAGCCAGCTCCTCCCTGAGTGGCCTGAGCTGGCCCCGCGACGCAGTGGCTCCACCGTTCCCTGCTCTGGATGCGTCTCCCTGGCGCCGGCTGCGGTGGGGCAAGGGCCACTAGGCCCTGTGGGTCCCCTCTGGCGTGCCTTGTGGGGCTGGGGTTGTCCGCAGTGCCAGAGCCCTGGGGGGAGGGGTTCTGTGGCAGGGTCTGGGGACCCTCTTGGGGCACAAAGAATGGGGTGGGGGCAGGGGTCCTGACCTTGAGCTGTGGCCCTCACTTCTGGCCTGGTCTCAGGGTCACTTAGCTGGAGGTCTTGTCGCAGCTCCTGTGGCCTTCTGTAGCTGGAGGGGCTGGGGCCAGGCTCAGGGGAGCTGGGGATTGCTCTCCACCTCCTGGCTGGCCCCCAGCTGCCCGGTCCTGGGAAGCAGAGCCATGTGGTTTCCCCCGTGCTGGCAGCCCTAGGGGTGAGGCGTCTGCTCTGTGGGTAGGAGGCTTCCTCCTATGCTGGAGGGCCTGTGGGCCAATGAGAGGGTCAAAGTGGGCCTGGAGGATCGGGCAGGGGCTGGCAGGAGTCCCGCCAGTGTCGGGAGGAGTAGTGGCTCTGGCACCACCCTCTCCCACGGCCTTGGCACCTGCCGCTCTCCTTGACCCTTCCCAAACCCAAACAGCGCATCTGAGCAGCCCCTGAGCCCTGGCCTCCCTGGGGGAAATGGGCCATGAGGAAGCACAGGCCAAAGCAGCAAAGAGGGCTCTGGCGGGCACGTAGGGCATGGCCCTGCCCTCTGTGGGCTGTGGCCTACCTGGTGTGGGGGGTACAGGGGCAACTGGGGGGGCTGCAGAAACAACCCATGAGGGCAGAGGCCGGATGCTGACGGTCCATGCTGGATTCTTGGGAGCTGCTTGTGCACCTGGGGAAATAGGCCTGGGAGGAGCGAGGTGAGCCAGGGCTACACAGTGCTGGATTTGCCGCTCCCAGGATAGTCCTCATCTCTGGTCTTGCCTGGGTAGGGAGAGGCCAGAACCCCTGAGTTATGGGCAGGCCGGCTGGTGGGAGGGGGACTGGTCCAGGACCCCCTCCCTGGAGGTGGAGATGCTGTGTAGGTGGAGAGATGGGGGCTAGCTGTGGGAGACCCCAGAGGCTCCAGGACGGGTTGAGGACCCTGCAGCTGCACAGAGCTTGGAGAGCCAAGCTGCTTGAGGCTGTGGCGCTGGCAGCGGTGCCCGGTGACTCCCCCTGGCTGCTTCTCCTGAGGGGCCCTCAGCCCCTCCTTAGCCACCTTCCAGGCCTCAGTGTCCTGCACTGAAGCAGACAGAGGTCCCCCTCATGGAGTCAGTGGGCCGGTGGTTGCACAGAGGGGTGGCGGGGAGGGGTGGGAGTGCTTCCCGTGGCTCGGGGCCCGTGCAGAGCCTCCTCGAGGAGGAGGCAGGAGGGGCTGCAGGCAGGCTGTGTGGCCCTCGCTGGCCAGCCCCCCGGCCTTCAGAGAGGTCTCTGGGTGCCACCTCTGACTTTGGCTCTTGGAGGTGACCAGGCTTCCCCTGTGGCCGATACCTGTGGGTTTCCCCCACAACCGCCCTCACCTTGCCTGCACCCCTTCTCCTCTTCTGCTGGTTTCCCTCCCCGCAGACTCCACCTCCTGGCTTCACGCCTGACTTGAGGGGGGAATTGGGCTGTGCCGTGGATGGGGTGGTGGCCTAACTACGTGGCTCACTGCCGGGAGAGGCCAGGGCCAGAGGGGCCGTCCCCTGTCCCCCACTTGGATTTATAGGAAGCGCCTTCTGGGCTGCAGGGAACCTCCTGGCCCCACTTTCCTAGCCCCTGCCCCTCGCAGGCCTCTGCTGTGGGTGCTGGAGTTTGCTGTGATGGCCCGGTGACCCTGGGTGGCCAGGAGCCACAGCACTTTGGTTGGACCATGGCCTGGTCAGGGCTGCCTGGGCCAACTAGGCTTTCAGTCTGGGAGTAGCTGGGCAAGGCAGGGGCCTGACTGGCCAAAGCTTGCCTAGCCGTTGGTCTCAGAGGAGGGACTCGGGCCTTCAGCAGCCTCAGGCTGGAGTCCTGGCTGTTGGGCTGTAGGTAACAGGTGTTGGTCGGGCTTTCTCTGCTTAAGGGGCTCTGGAGTGTGGTGGGGGAGGGGCTCTACTGGCTTGTCCTGAATAGTGGCTGCCCCTTCCCTTAAGTCCAGCAGAGCTGGTAGCTAGGCCCCTGGGGCAGCCGGGATTGGGTGTCCCAGTGCCCTGGCTTGGTGTCTGGCTGGAGTGGGCAGCCCCAAGGGGACCCCTCCCACACCCTGGCCCTGTCTCGTGCCAGAGGTGCAGGGGCCTCCCCAGCCTTCCTCACCAGGTGTCCCCGGCCACCTGTCCTTTGCAGGCTCCTGCTTCTGGGTGGCTGTGCTGGATGGCAACGTGGTGGGCATTGTGGCCGCACGGGCCCACGAGGAGGACAACACACTGGAGCTGCTGCGGATGTCTGTGGACTCGCGCTTCCGTGGCAAGGGCATTGCCAAGGCGCTGGGCCGGAAGGTGCTGGAGTTCGCCGTGGTGCACAACTACTCGGCGGTGGTGCTGGGCACGACGGCTGTCAAGGTGGCTGCCCACAAGCTCTACGAGTCTCTGGGCTTCAGACACATGGGCGCCAGTGACCACTACGTGCTGCCCGGCATGACCCTCTCGCTGGCCGAGCGCCTCTTCTTCCAGGTCCGCTACCACCGCTACCGCCTGCAACTGCGCGAGGAGTGACCGCCGCCGCTCACCTGCCCGCCACCCCGGCCACCCTACCCGCCTGCCCGCCTGCCCGCCGCCCGCCGCCCGGCGCGGCTGCTTTCAGACGCTCACCTTGGCGTTTGTGTTGGGTTTTCCCTCTTCAACATCCTGCGGTTCTCTGGCTGGTTCTGAGGGGTGCGGGGCTGCTGCTCTTCCGCGATACTTCGGTGGGGGGGGTTTGTTCGTCGCCACCGCCCCTCGCCCTTCCCCGCCCACCCGGGCAACTTGCCACGCCTTGAAGAGTGGCATCTTGGACCATCGCGGCTGTCCTGGAAGCTGCCCTGCCCGCTGCCACTGGGGGAGGCCCAGCCTTGCTCACCAAGCACAGAACCTCTGCGACAGAGCCCCGGGCTAGGCTCCGGCCCTGCCAGCGGCCCGGCGCCACTGCCCGTGGAGGCCCGAGCTGGCCACGGCACTGCTTTGCTCCGCGCATGCCGAGGGTGTGGCCCGGACCAGCATGCCGCATGCACACAGCCCTGCCCTGCCGCCCTGCTCAGACTGGACCCGGAGACCCGGGCCGGTGAGCACCTCTGTCCCCAGCCCGGAGCTGGCCATGGGAGGGCCTGCCCCTGCCCCAACCCCGTGGAGGGCCTGGTCTGCCCCATGCTGCCCGGCTCTGTCCTCGTCTGCTTTGCTCTGACATCTCAATGCCTTCCTTTCCTCTGGCTCCGGCCCCTCCCTTGCCTGGGTTTGGCTGGCTGGCGTCATCACCCAGGTGGCTCCCATGGCATCCGTGGCACAGCCAGGGTGGGGGTCCAAGGGACCCGTCTCCCCACTGCCCACTGGATCGCGGTGGCCTCTCCCTGATGTCCCCAGGGACCTCGTGCCTCTGGCTGATGGTCCACCCTGTGAATCTTACCAGCCCAGGCCGCTGCCTACAGCGCCCAGCCCACAGCTTCTCCCAGCCTGAAACCAACCCGTTTTCTAATAAGTTATTTAGACAGAATAGCACTCTGCATGACTTTAATTCTTGGGACAAAACGGTAGTTTGTACCCTAAGACAGTTTCTGGCCCAGTGTGATGGGGGTGGGTGGCCGGGTGGGTGGAGTGTTTTGCAGTTGGAAATCTGGAGGGAGACCCTGATTTGGTGTCATTTTCCTCCACGGAGCATGCCTCCCAGCCCTGGCCTGCAGGGTGGGCAGGGCAGGGGGCTAGGGAGCCCACAGCCTCCAGGAGGAGGGGCAGGGTGCTGTCGGGCTGGGTGGGAAGAGGGGTGGCCGCCTCAGCTCCCACTGGTTGTGCTCCTGGTCTCTCCTTCCTGAGGTCACAGGCAGGGGCTTCCCTGGGCGGGGGACGGCCTGGAAAGGGAGACAGAGGCAGAGGGTGCTGCACATCCAGCCTAGAGGTGGCAGGAGGAGAATAAAGCCTTGCCCGGACCCTTCTGTGGGGAATTGGGGAGGGGTGCTGCAGGCAGGGTGGGCCACAGAGCTGGGTCCCAGGCACCAAGGCCACGTGCAGGGCCACGGAGGGACCGTCTTCACGAGGCGCTTCAGAAGTAAGCAAAGGGATGGAGAATCCCGTGTCCAAGGGCCTTTTGTCCTGTTCGCAGTTGAGGTGTGCAGAGCCCTGTACAGACCCTCCCCGTGCACTCCTCCCTGGAGGGCCTGGCTCCCGCTCGGGGTTGGGAGTTTTGTAGACTGTACAGAAATCGGCGCCCTATTTTCTTGCAGCTCAGATTTTGTTAATCTGGAATATACAGACAGACGTAAAGTGTTTTAGCAAAATGGAAACAAACAGTTGTGCCTTTTTCCTCTTTTGGTTTGGGTTTGGCCTTGGGCTGGTCCCGGTTGGTGCGGGGCATGCTGGGGGCAGGAAGGGCAGGGTGGACCAGGTGGAGTCAGGTCATAGGGGTGTCCTGTCGGGGTGCCGCCAGCTTCCCTGGGTCCTGTGCCTTTGGAGCCTCAGGCTCCTGGGATGCAGGGCACATGGGGGTGGCTGTCGGAGCCCACTGATGCCAGGGCAGGGCCTGGAGGCCCAGAGACTGCCAGTGTCCCCTTGACATTGACCTGAGCTGGGTTCACTGCAGATCTTCCTCCTGGGGGTTGGTTATGAGAGCCCTGGGCGGTGTGGCCCTCTCCCATACTGGTGGCACCTGTGACCTGGCTGCACTGCCCTGTGGGTGGTGGGATGCTTGGCCTTTCTTTGCTGCCAGGATTTGGTAGAGGTGCCAGGAAGGGTGTATGGGGTGCTCTGAGGTGAGCAGAGGCACCGGTGTGCCTGTCAGGCTGGGGTGGAGCTGCCTGGAGCCCTCACCAGGCCAGTGTGCAGCTCAGTGGGGCCCTTGAAGGCCAGTGGGGGGCACATCTGTCCTCCCCCGGGCTGGAGGCCAGGTGCCCTCATGGGTGGGCCTGCCCTGGCCCGCCTCATCCCTCCAGCCAGGGATTTCACTGCTCTGCACATGTGCACTGATGTGAATTTTATACGTTTGTAGAAATTCTGATGTAACTTCTTCTACCTCTGAAGTGCCCTCCTGGGCCTTGCTGTCACATGGTTAGTGCGGCTTCCCTGAGTGTCTGCCCCTGCCCACTTGGCGTGGGTGCCCACCACTCAGACTCTGTGTGGCAAAGCCCGGGGAAAGCCAGCCTGGGGCTGGGCACTGCTCCAGGGGCTCCTGGGGTTTCTGTGTGTTTGGAAGCCTGTTTTTGTTGTGGAGAGGATGGAAGGCAGGAGAGGCTGGCGGTGCCCAAGGCCAGAGCTGGGTCAAGAACATCCTCGATGGATGAGCAGCACAGGCCTAACGAAGCTCTGGGCAGCTGAGGGCCATGGCACCTGGGGATGCCCTGCACTGCCCAGTGCCAGGGGGTCTTGCTCAGCAGGGTGGGCTGGCCCTGGGCAGCTCACACCGCTCAGGTGCGAGTGGCTGCAGACCTGGCCCCTGAGAGTGGGAGGCCTGCATGTGCCAAAGCTGCCATGCGGTTTGGCCCCCAGAAGGGCTCCTGAGCATAGGGAGTTGAGCCCCACAGGCCTGGCGATGTCTCCCCCTCCTTCCTCTGCCGAGCCTTGCTTCCTGCTGGTGTCGCACTCTGGGGCTGGGCAGCAGCTGAGAAGCTGCCCCTAGAGGGAGGGGCCGAGGGCTGGGTCAGTCTGTCCCAACTGGTGGACAGTGGGGAAGGGTTGGCCTGGTAGGCCCTGTGGACAGCAGACCTGAGGACACTCCCTTCCTGCTCTGGGTGTCCTCTGAGAAGGTGGCAGAAGGCTGCAGGCACCAGAGGAGAGGGCATGGGGATGCCTTGAGCTCCCTGGCTGTATGGCAGGTGGAGGAAGCTCTCTGGGCCGTAAGAGTCTGGCCCACCTGCCCCGGGGCACTAGGGCTGTGCCTGTGGTGTGAGGACAGGAACTGGGGTTCCTGGGCTCTGCTGGTGCCTGGGCTTTGTGGGGGCCAAAGGTGGCTGCCCCACTGGGCAGGGGACTGTGTGGGCCCTTGTGGGGTCACCTTCCTGTCAGAGCCCGAGGGACGGTGGGACAGAGTTGCCCCCATGCTGAGGGAGCCCGCCGCCGTCCCCCGTGGGCTGGTGCTGCAGCTGTGCATCCTGTCTGTTGCCTGCTGACCTGCTTGTGTCTGTTTGGAAGCTGCTTCTGTTTGGCCACAGGCCTGTGTTCCTGGGCTGGTGGCCACAGAGCTGATACTGGGGTTTGAGTTCCAGACGGGGTGGACCCTGGAGTCCACTTAATCTTCGGTGCCACAGCCCCTGTGCTCCCAGAGGTGGCGCGATGCTGCCCGGGGCCACAGCTGGGTGAAGGAGGGCGAGCCGACATACCATTGTTGGATGTATTTTTTTAAACAGCAATAATTAGCCATTTTAAAGAAGGGGTATACCAGTGTGTGTGCACGTGTTTGAGCATGTGTGCATATGTGTGAGCATGTGTGCAAGTGTGTTCTTGCATGTGTGGTGTGAGCATGTGCATGTGCATGAGTGTGAGCGTGTATACATGTTTAAGCATGGACATGTGAGCATGCATGTGAATGCACGTGTATGGGCATACATGCTCATGTGTACACGTGTGAACATGCACGTGTGGATGTACGTGTGTGGGTGTGTATGCATGAGTATATGTGTGTTCTTGGGTATGAATGAGCATGTATGTGTGTGAATGCACATGTGTATGTGTGTACAAATTGTGTGTGAATGTTCATCTGTATGTGTACATGTGTATGAATGTACATGTGTATGGATGTACATGTGTACACATGAGCATGCACGTGTGTATGAATGTACATGTATATGTGTGTATGGACATATATGTGCACACATGTGTATAAATGTACATGTATGAAAGTACCTGTATGTACATGTGTATACATGAGCACGCACATGTGTACATGTATGAATGTACATCTATGAATGCACGTGTGTATGAATGTACTATGTGTATGAATGCACGTGTGTATGAATGTACACGTGTGAATGGATGTATGTACACATGAGCATGCACGTGTGTACATGTGTACGCATGAGCATGGATGCCTGTGTGATGCAGGTGTGTATTCTGAGGGGCACATGTGTGTGAATGTACGCATGCATAGGGTGTACGTGTGTGTACTCGTGTGTGGGCATGTATGTACTCGTGTATGTGTTCTGGTGTGTGGGTGAGCATGCACATGTGCATGGATGTAGGTGTGAGCTGTACAGAGTATGTGTGTTCCATGAGCATGTGGTGTGTATGAGTGTCTGTGTGTGTACTTCCATATATGTGGCTGTGCAGGTATCGGTGGTGGGGGGCTGGCAGTGCCTGGGGAAGCAGGTTCCTCCCCACCGCTTCCCTGCTGGGCCCCCAGCCCCAGGCCAAGCCTCCCTGGCCCCTCTTGCCCCTCAGTGGGGCAGGGCCTCAGTGGGGGGCCTGAGCAGCTCCAGGGAGGCCAGGCTGGGGGAGCACAGGGGTGGGGTTCACCTGCTGCTGTTTGTTCCCGAAACTGTACTGTGAGCCCACGGCGGGGGCAGACTGTCCTGAGGCCCCAGATGTGCCAAAACAGCCCCTAGGGTGGGGGCGAGCGAGTTCTGAGGAGAGGGGCTGTGGGGGCCTGGGGTGGGTGTGCACCCCTCCCCTGAATGGCTCCCAATGCTGCTGTTTTTCAATAAAACCAGAGTTGAAGGCACCTGGCTCCGTGCTCTCTTGGGGCGCTTACTGCCCACTTGTGGCAGGACTGGCTTTTGGGGAGGTGGGTCCCCACCCTTGGTTGCCCCATTTGGCCCCCACCACCTTTCCCTTCTTCCCTGGCCACCCACTTTGCTCACTTTGGCTCCCCTACACCTGGCCAGGCTGCCCTACAGCCAGCACTGCAGCCTGGAGGGAGTGTGATCTGGGAGGTGGGGTGGTGGTGGTGGTGACCCCATTGCTGAGGCTCCACCCTAGCAGGCATCCAGCAGGAACCCAGCTGGGTGGGCTCTGCCCATTCACTCTCACACCCAGGCTCCCCTGAGCAGCTCACGGGCCCTGCTCACCCAGCTCTGTGCTGGGACCCTAGGCACCCTAACTCCTGGCAGACAGCTTGGCACTCAGCCCCCACCCCATTCTTGCCACCCTAGTGGGACCCCTGGCCAGGTCCACCAGGCCCTGCTGCTCTGTCCTCCTGGCCCTGGAGTCTGGGTGCCAATAGGGTGTCGGACCCCTCCTGCATCTGGGGTTCCCAGTTCCCGTGGTTATCTCCATCCTTGCCCTGGCAGCCCCAGCAGCTGCCTGCCAGCCTGGCCCCCTCCCTTGGAGGAACAGCGGTGCCAAGGGGGAGGGTGTGAGGTGATTGGACATCAGAGCCCACCAGGATGGGGGTGACTCCCAGTGTTTGTGAGGGAGGACGCCAGGTCTGGGGTCCAGGCTGAGTGCTGCAGTCCAGGGCCTTGGTGGGGAGCAGGGTGTGGGGGGTCTCACAGCCAGTGAGGCATGGGGTGGACACAGATCCCTGCCCTGGCAGGTGCCTGTCAGGATGCCAGTCTTGTTGGCAGAGGGAGTCTCCCAACTGTACTGCCCAGTCCCCTGGGCCACTTTCCTGGTAGGGTTTCTGTGGCCACCCTCCCACCTTCTCCACCCTCTGCACCCCCGCTGCCAGGCGGCAAGCTTCTTCCCAAGGGCAGGACTGCCCCTCAGCCTGGAGGGCTATGCAGCCTTGGCCTGGGCTCAGCAAAGCCCATCTGGGGCATCCCGCTGAAACTGCAGCAGGATGGAAGGCTTGCGTGCAGCGGCTGCATCAGGCCTGGTGGGGCTCAGAGTGCTGCCACAGAATGCAGGCAGGGGCAGCACCGCCCTAGCAGGAGGCCCCAGCAGAGGCTCTGAGCAGCCTGTTTGCAGCCACTGGTCACCAGCCTGCAGGAGGCTCATGGGAGAGACCTCATGGCCTGAGAACATGTGACCCCAGGCCCTTGAAGGTCCTCGGTGGCCCCAGGCCGCTTCCCTGGCAGAGGCCTGCAACGGGTGGGCAGGCCTTCTCACAGAGTGGCCCTCTGGTCCTCCTGAGGCATCAGTCAGGAACATGAGCCCCAGGAGCCCCAGTGCCTGCTGGCAGGCTGTGTTCTCTTGGTCTCAGTACAGGGCTGCACGCTGGGCCGGCCTGGGAGGACGGTGTGTGCCCTGGGCCGTGGCTTCCTGAAGCGAAGGGAACCAGTGGGGGCACACCACAGGCATCAGAGCTGGTTGCTCCTAGGGCACCTGCCAGGGGTGAGCAGCTGATGAGCTGTGAGGGAGCCCCTCCCCTGAAATCCATGGGAGAGGGAGCCGGGACTCCCTACCCTCTCTGGAGTGTCTGGCCAGACCCAGCCTTGGTCACTCCCAATTTGGGGCACTCAGCCCTGCCCTGACCAAGTGGCTGGGGGTTGTGGATGCGGCACTTCCCACTTACAGGAAGAATTCACTCAGACAGGGATGAGGAAGGCTTTGCACAGGCATTTACTCCAGGGGACAAAGGGCCACCCCAGCCCCAAAGGGTTAATGCATCCTGGAGTGTCCTGGCACGCAGAGCTGGTGACCTTGGGGGAGGCCACACAATGGGCTGCTGGAAACCAGTTCTTTCCTCCCCCGTTGCCTGGGGCTACAGACAAAATGAAGGCGAAAAATGCGGGGGCAGGGGTGGGTGTTGGTGGGGGAGGAGGGGACCCGGAGGTAGCCAGGCTGTTGCTGGGAGACTCAGTGCGACTTGGTCCTAGTGAGGGCCCCAGGCCTCCTGCAGTGGCACCAGGTGTCCCCACGAACGGCCGGCACTCAGGCTCACCTTGAGGGGTACCTGCGGGTGGCAGCCAGAGGTGAGCCCCAGGCCTGGGCCAGCCATCCCCAGCCAGCTCCCAGACCCCATGCAGGGGGAGCCCACCTGCAGCCCACAGGTGCACATGATCAGCCACATGCACGCTCGCCACACTTGCCAGTAACAGGCTTAGGCCACATCCACCTCCCAGTCATGACACCTTGATCTTGGTGGAGGTTCCCCACCTGCCAGGGCCTCTGTGCCAGTGGGCAGGCTTCGGCCGGCAGACAAGCTGCCCTTGGGCAGCTGGGTGTGTTCTGGGGCATCCCATGCTTGCCCCTCAGGGTCCTTCCCCGGGAGGATCGGTGGCTCCCAGAGGCCAAGACAGCCAGCCCTCCCCGGGGTCCCGGACCCTGAGCGGACCAAGCCTCCACCACTCCCTCTTGACAGAGCTGGAGGGGTCCAGCCTGGCTGCAGTCCCTGTTAGCTGAAGTGAGCAGAGGTGGGTGGGGCTTACTGGGTTTCAGGGATTGCCCAGCCCCCACTGCTGGGCCTGCTGCGGAGCAGCCATCTCACTGCTGTAGGGGCCATCTTGGGCTGGGGCTGCACCCTGCGGCCTGGCTCTTCTGCCCTGGGGGTACGGGCCTCCCTCACCTTGGGCTCTGCTAGACCCGGTAGGGCTGGGTGTCCCTCACCTGAAGCTGCAGCTCCAACACCTGCACCTGCTCCAAGGACTCCATGGTCCTCCTGACGAGAGCTAGAACATGGGAGAAAAAGGTGGCCCCACTGGTCTCTTGACCTTGGGGAACTTCCAGGCCTGAGTCCTGCCCCGGCCCCTGAGCACCCTTGTTTCCTGTGTCCACTCGGTCACCCGAACCAGCTGTGGGGTCTCGATGCCCACAGGTAGCCCCTGCGTGCCCCACCCCTGAGGCTGGGTCCAGCTTCCCCGGCCCCATCCACAGTCCAGGATGCCTCTCACAGACCCCCTGGCCTTCGCTGCAGCGCCCCCTCCTGGCCTGGCCTGCCACACTGCACTGGTCCTCATGCCTACCCCTTGGAGTCAGCTTGCCTCAGCTGGGGGTCATGGGGTGGGACAGGTGTCATGCCAGCTCTGTTTCAGAAGCTCTGGGGCTGGGAGGAGGGAGAGGCACAGGTAGCCCCCACCAGCCAGACACACCAGGACTGCAGGAAGCCCCATCCCCACTACTGGGTGAAGTTTGATGCAATTGTGACTTTGTGCCACGAGTGGGCTGGCCCCGTTGTGGGGACCTGGGTCATCGTGCAGCAGTGGGACTCAGAGCCCTGAGAAGGAAAGCCTGGGCAGGGGTGGGGGGCAGGACTCGCAAGCTCAGGCTTTCTCCGGGCTGACTTTGGATAAACATTCGTCTCATCCTTTTGGGCTTTGTGACACTGCAATGCAAAGGTGGTAGCAGGAGCCGAGAGTCGTGGTGGGTGCTGCCTTACTTTCCAGCCCTCCTGGCCCCAGCAGAGCCAGAGCTTCCCTGAGGACTTGTCCCTGGTGTGTCGTGAGCAGGGCGGGTGGCCGCCTGCGCTCTGTGACCCTTAGTGTCCTCTGTGAAGGAGCAGGTCACTGTCTGCAGGGAGCTGTCAGCCAGCAGGTGGGCACACGGTCTGTGTGCATGGTGGGGAGCCCTGCAGAGGGACCCCAGCCATCCTGGGGAGCTTCTTATGGGGGCAAGACTGGAGAGATGGCCTAGCCTAAGCTGGATGGTTGGCTCCCCATGCTGGCTGGAGCTACCCTGGGTGTGCAGAGAACAGGTCTCTCCTCTGTACCTGGTGGGGTGGTGCCAGTGACAGAGTGTGTGATCACCAGCAACTGCTCCTCAGAGAGGGGCAGCAAGTGTGGGGCTGGGCTGGCACTCAGCTGGGGTGCTCCCTGTGGGGCCCTTGGGAGGGCAGGCAGGGCAGAGACGCCAGGCACTAGACACCGCCTGGGAGGCAGGATCTAACCCCACCCTTCAGGGCTAGTGCAGGCCCCACCTGACCCCTGATTCCCCAGGCCCTGCAGTCCCTGGCCCCAAGTGCTCTTGACAGAGCAGGGCTTGGGCTGCTGCCTGCCTCAGGAGCTGCCAGGCCAGCTGGAGGAAGCTGCTCCCGGGAACAAGGCCTTTTGGGAATGTTTTCTTTCCTTTTTTAACCTACAGCTGAGCACACGTTATACTTGTTAAATGGTCACGTAAGATGGGTGTGTTTTCAAATGAGTTGCTGGACATAGTTTTCAAGTGGCAGAGCCCTGCTTTAGGATGGAGCAGGATGGGTGGGCACCAGGGATGGGAGCCTCACACCCCTAAGGGTAAGAACTGGTGGGTGTGGGGCTAGGAGGGCATGGTGACTGCCCCTTGGGAATTGGTGCCGGAAGCTTCCAGCCCTGATGCCCCCTGTACCTCTTCTCCCAACCCGTGAAGCTGCCCCAGCCGGTTACAGCTCTGGCCTGGAGAGTCGGGGGCCCAGCTCCACGTGGGCACCTGCTCTCCCATCTCACCCATGAGGCCACAATGGGATCCTCCATGGGACCAGTGGCTGGGTGTTGTGGGGAGGTCCTGGCCCTCCCTAGGGAGAGAGAGATCCTTGGCTTCAAAGAACCCCTTGGACTGATGGCTGGGGTGACTCTGCCTGAGCTCACTCACCTGTGGGCCATGTAGCTCAGCAGAGAGGGGTGGCCTGTGGGGCAGGATGGGACCCAGGCCTGAAGTCTGTGCTGAGCCTGAGGAGCCTCAGAGACTCCAACACCCCAACAAGAACAGCTGCTGCCAGCTCTGCAGCCTGGTCCCCAGTCAGCCTGGGTGGTACCAGTGCCTACTCCCCATCTTTCCAGACCCCCAAGACATGGAGGCCTTGGGCCTCAGACAAAGCGGCCTTGGGTGTCTGCAGCTGCTCTCCGGAGCTCCAGTCAGCTAGAGCACCCGGTGCTCTCTGGGAGGCTGGTGGCCCAGGCTGGACCCCACTTAAGCCTTTCAAGGGTCCCCACACCCAGGCTGGCCCCTCTGCCTGCCAGGACCCAGGTGACACAGCAGCATGAGGCGGAGCAGGTGCTGTGAAAGGGCCGACAGCCGGGAGGGCTTTCCTGGGCTGTGCCATGGGCCATCGAGCTTCCCCTCAGCCCTTTGTGAAGTCCAGGCAACCCTGTGCTACCTGCACACTCCGGGATCTGCGAGTCTTCCACTTCAAACAGCAGCTCGTCATGGATCTGGGCCACCAGCCTGGCAAGGAGGGAGGGAGTCACCCTGGGAGGCCAGGACTCTGGGGCGGGGGACCATCCCCACGGTTTCTGAAATGGGATTCTGGCACTGGGGCCCAAGAGAATGTGGCGCTGTGAGGCATAGCGGGGGGGACCCAGCCCAGGGGCACCACTGCCCGAGGCCACCCACTGTCACCAGGACAGCTCTGGGAAGCTGGGGGAAGGGGCGATAGGGAGACAGGCTGGTTGGAAGTGACTCTGGTCATTGTCGAGGAAGCAGGTGGCATGCCCAGCAGGAGAGGCTGAGCGCCCCATGTCCGCCACACCCAGGTAGGTCCCATGGGGGTGAGCAATTCATGTTCTGAACAGTCTGGGCAGGGATGGAGAAATAGCCCCTTGAGAACTGCTGTGGGGCCCTGACTCGGCGAGCCTCATGGACATCCTGGCTTCCTGCACCCTCAGGGCCTCTCGGAAAGGCTGGGCGCTCATTCCCGGCTCCTGCACTGGAGGCCTTGCTCTAGTGTACATCCCGCTGCCCCAGCCAGGCCCACCCTTCCCCAGCCTCCTTCCTGGAGCCCCTCAGGTGCCTCTCCCAGGGTGTCAGGGAGATAAGTGGGACCCGAGTGGGAGGAGATTCAGGTGAAATGCAGGGTGGGTCCCTGGGGTGGGACAGATTCAAACTCAAGTGCAAGTGCGTACAAGGCAGATGGATCATGGGCTCAGGGGCTGCGCTCTGCGGCTCCACACACTCCTTGCAAACCGGTGACACACACCTTGGGCAGATGATGCCTCAAATCTTGGTGATGTGCCAGACCCAGTATCAGCCCCTCCAGAGGGGTGGACGCAGGCAGTTCGCCTTGTGCCCTCAGGAGGGGATGTGCAGTGTGGGTGACTCACAGGATGAGCTGCTGGGAAGGATGGGGTGTCAAGGGGTCCCATGCTCTCTGTCCTCTGTGGGACCTTGGCTCTGTCCTCTGGATCGAGCCTTCAGGGGCAGGGTCACATCCTATCCTTGCCCTTGCTGCCCATCCTTGGCAGGCACAGATGGGGGCACAGCAGGCCCAGGGCCCTAAGGAGCTGGGCTACACGGGAGCCCTCGCCCAGCAGTGGTCACGGGCACGTGACGGAGATGAGCTGGGATTAGGGGCAGCCTTCAAGCCCCAGGGTAGAGGTTGGCCGTGCTTTCACTTTCCGCAGGAGACGTGGGCTTTGCAGCAGAGATTTCAGGTGACCTGCCCCAATCCGCCCTTCCTCTCTTCCTTCATGTTGGCCCCTTTGTTGCTGGGTGGGTGGGGTGGAGGTGGGGCTGTGTCCTCAGCTACAAAGGACATTTCCCAGGCTCTGTCTCAGGCAGGGTGGCCCAGGACTATTCCCTTCAACTTTCAAGGAGGCTATTATTATTTTTTTTCCCTTAGCAGGGAGGGAGGAAAGGAGTGGGATGGAAAAGGAGACTCCAGCAAAGCTCTTGAAAGGAAGGCTCTTTAAAAGGCTGACTTCGAAGGGCTGCCAGGGACAGATGCTCTTCTGACCATTACCACTTTCTCCGTTTGCCTGGAAGGTGTGATGGCTGGAGCAGCAACCTCCATCATAGCACCAGGAGGGAACGGCAAGGAGCCAGAGGAACTTCGGGCCTGCTGCTCTGAGCCTCTGAAACAAAGTCAGCGACCACTGTTCTCTGGAGTTCTCATGGTGGGAGAAAAAGCTGCCTTCTGGAGTCTCAGCTGCTGTAGCTTGGGCCTGTGTCCCTGATCACCAAGTGCACGTCCTCGTGGTGTACATCCACAGGACACTAGTACGGTGGTGCTCACGCCCTCGTGCAGGCTGCTGCAGGGAGGGAAGGTGGGCGTGCGCTTTATGTGAAGCCTCTGGCCAGGGAACATGGGCACTGCCCTTCCAGAAGTCAGAGGGGCAAGAGAGCCCAGGCTGTCAGCACTAGCAAGCTTTTCTTACAGTAACTTCAAAGTCTGGGGCAGAAGTCTTGGGCTCCCAAGAGGACTTACTTTTCAAATGGGCAGAAGCCTCAGAAAAGGCACTTGTAACTTTTTCCAGATTTAGCAGAAGCGTTTTTCACACTTCTTGAAATTACATTGTGAAATTCCGAACTGCTGGTGTGGCAGGAACCTAAGAATAGGTGTAGTTGTCAGTCACACATCATTCTCGCAGCCACTGAGACATGACTGTGCTTCTAGCTGGGAAATGGGGCGCAGGAAGAAGAAGGAGGACACCCGTCGTCTCTGTGTGGGGCAGGTGAATGCAGGGCCTTGGATCTGCTGGGTTCCGGAAGGGTGCGGACCTCTGCTGCAACTTCTCATCCCTGCTCCTGAGGGTTGGCCCACAGAGCTGCCATGTCCTGCATCTGGACAGCCTGACTGAGATCACTGCACCAGTAGGAGAACGTTCCAGAAGAGCCTCACCATATTGCCCTGTCTGGGGCCTGCAGCTCCCTTGCGAGGGACGCCCCCAGCCCCGCTGAGCTGCTTTGAGGACTCATCCTGAGAGTACTGAGGCCTGATGTCTCCATGCCGACCCGCCTTGAGGAGGCCCAGGGGAGGGAGCACAGGAGCACCGACACTTTCTGAAACCCAGGAAGGCCTTTGCATAAAGGGCCTGCGTCAGAACAGACTGGAGACCAAGCTGCTGGCGCAGGCCTGTGAACACTGGCCGCCAGCCTCCTGTTCTGGGTCCCACCTCTCCAGTCCCTGCAGGATGTGGACTGAGAGGCGTGAACGAACGCCATTTCCCTGTCACAGGGACTGTGGGTGTGAATGGGGACTGTCCTGTGGCCCCAGCCCACCTGGGTAGACCCCTGGGGTGGCCAGATGAGGCTCTAGGGTCACCGTGTGCTTCCCAGTGATCGAGTTTCACGTCTGCCACTTCAGGCAGATGCCAGGCCACCCTGAGCCTTCACTGTCCCTTCCAGATACCATCCACAGTCTTTCACATTGGTCCTGGAAGAAGAAATCACATACACAAAATGTAGACAGTGGCGTGTCCAATATTCCATACAAGTCTGCTTTGCATTTTGCTATGAGAAGCGTTTCTTCAAGACAGCTGAGGGCTGACAGAAAGGTGACTAGTTCCTGAGTAAGAAGTTCTGTTCAGCTTTCAGAAGGACTCAGCCAGCAACAGAGAGACCCCAACTCCTCACATGCCAACTTCCTGTACCAATTCCACAAGGGCTGAAAGGGAACCGACTTGTTCTGTTTTTGAGGCAGGGTCTTGCTCTGTTGCCCAGGTTGGAGTGCAGTGGTGTGATTATGGCTCACTGCAGCCTCGACCTCCCAGGCTCAGGTGATCCTCTCACTTCAGCCTCCTGAATAGCTGGGACTACAGGTGTGCACCACTATGGCCAGCTTTTTTTTTTTTTTTTTTTTTAAGAGTTGGGTTTCACTATGTTGCCCAGGCAACAAATATGTTGGTCACAAACTCCTGAGCTGAAGTGATCCACCTGCCTCGGCCTCCCAAAGTCCTGGGATTACAGGCTTGAGCCACCATGCCTAGCTGAGAGTGGATCTTCTCATGCCCCACTCCTGATCACTTCAGTTACTGCAGTGAGCAGCACTGACAGCCACAGTGAGGCTGTGAGCAGAGCCTGGGGCAGTGCTCAGAGCCTGTGGGGCCTCAGGTATTCTCCCTCCCTGGGATGACAGCCTGGGCTGCGGCCTCCTTCTGGGCTTCTTTTCCCTGGAGCTTTAGGGTGACTGTGGGCCAGAGGAAGTACCGAGAGAGGCTGCAAGGGGAGGAGCCATCTAGGCTTCAGTGGGCTTAGGGACCACCCCCTGCTCTCCGTTGCTGGGTATCACAGCTCAGCCTGGGCAGGGCCAGTGATGGGGACACACTTCTGAACAAAGTCGCTGAAATCCCCGGAAGAGCACAGGCTTGAAAGCCAGTGACAGGAGGGAGTTCGTGAAGACATAGGAGGCTGCTTTTAAACAGAGATGAGAGATCTCTGATAAGGCAAAAAAATCATGCCTCGAGAATGTAAAATAATATCAAAAGTCAAGAGAAAGTTGTAAGCTCAGATGGAAAAGAGCGGCAACAGGTAGGCAGGACCTGTAACCCAAAGGCAGGGTTGGGCACACCAGGGAGGCCTGGGCCACATCTTATACTCCAGAAGCCGCTGCCTCAGCCCTCCCTGGGCTCCCCTCCCGGATGCATCTGCAGTGGCAGGTGTACCTGGTCTGCAGAGGCTGTCCCCGAGGGACTGGCGCCAAGAGCTTGAGGGCCCTTAGGGTGGGGTAGGAAAACATCCATGGGTGGGACAGAGGGCAACAGGCCCTCTGGGAGCTGACATTGTGGGGGCTGAGGCAGGTTAGCTCCCGGGAGGGGCTTGGAGATTCCTGAAGCGATCCCCCCACAAGGAGAACGAGGAAAGGAGGTGTCTGGGTGGCTTTGGCTGGCGGGGAGGAGGTGGCTGGGCAAGGGCTGCTTGTTCCCTGGCTACCCAAGCTCCGGAGGTATGTGCCTGGGGGAATCACTGAGGCAGGGACAGAGGCCTGAGAGAGCTATGGCCTGGGGGACAGCCACGGTGGAGCCCCCACCACTGAGGCTCATCTGAATGTTGGCTTGGGGCTCGGGGCTTCAGCCAGAGCTGGATGTGGAGCACCACTGCCTGGCACTGGTAGCAGCAACAGGTAGGAGTGGGGGCAGTTTGGAGCCCCCAGGGTCCTGCCCAAGGGGTTGAGGTGTTTGCCTTCCTGTGGGGTGGGCACCATTTCTGTCTGGGGAGGGGAGGCCTCATCTGCGCCCCACGCTGGTGGGAGGTGGGCTGTTTCCTGCGTGCCTGCTGTGATTAGCCCCCAGGGCCTTCCATGGGCTGAGAGCCTTGGGAGGGGATGGGGCCCTTGGAGCAGAGATGGTGGGCTGTCGGAATCTCAAGCCCCCAGAGGGTTTTCCCACAGAACACCAACCTTCCCACCCAAGCCTGGAGAAGGGCTGAGGCCCAGGCAGGCTGACTGCTACCCACTGACCTGGCCGTCAAGGTGTGGGAAGCAGCCACTGCAGCGAAGACACGGATCATGGCCAGCTTGCAGAGGTCAGCGGCGGAGCCTGTGGGGCACGCGGGTGCTGTGTCAAAGTCCCATGGCACGTGGTGCGTGGTGCACTCAGCACTTGGCACTGTTGCCGCGGCTCTCAGGCACCTCCACACAGAGGTGCAGGCTCTGAGCCGTCTGAGTGCTGAGACCATAGGCAACCACAGGTAGCCGCTTCTTCCTCACTCCTCCTGCCCTCTTGCTGCTACAGGGCACCTGGGTTTTGGGTGCCTTATTCCTGGAAGCCTCACCCCTGCCAGGCATGCATGGGGAGAATGGAAGAGCCTAGGCCAAGCACCAAGGGACTGAGCTCCAGGTCTGCTAAACTCCTAAAGCCTCAGTTTCCCACCTGCAGTTATGGGGAACAGCACCACCTGGGCCTGGCTCTTGGGGGAGGCATCCTAGCTACAAAGGTGGCCGTGTCCCCTCACGCCCCTGACAGTAACTGCCAGGCAGGACCCAGGCAGCACAAGCTCCTGCAAGGAGGTTTGTGAGGAGCAGGAAATACCACAATGACCTGTGGGTGCCACCCAGCCCTGCGGCTGCAAAATCCAAGAAGCAAATGGACACAGAACTACAGGGACAGGGTAGGAGGTCCTGGTACCTTGCACCACGAAGTTCACTGCCTGTCGCTCTGCTTGTGCCTGGAGCTGCTGGTCACGAGCATGAATCCTCGGCAGGGGTCTCCTTCTGCCCATGATGGACACCATATAGCCTGGGTCACACAGAGCAAAAGCAGATGAGAGACAGAAACAGGTGCCACAGCAGGTGCACCTCCCTTGGGCCAGGTCCAGAGGCCCCAGAGGGACAGCTGAACTGCAGTGAAGACTCCAAGCCTCCCCCAGGCCCTTTGGGTCTATCTCTGGGGTGGGTGGGCTCTGCAGTGGGAAAGCGAGGGTCTGCTGCTGGGCGCTCTGTACTTTTTTTTTTTTTTTTTTTTTTTTTGAGACAGAGTGAGACTCTGTCACCCAGGCTGGAGTGCAGTGGCATAATCTCGGCTCAATGCAGCCTCCTCCTTCTGGGTTCAAGCAATTTTCCTGCCTCAGCCTCCTGAAGAGCTGGGATTACAGGTGCTTGCCACCATGCCCAGCTAATTTTTGGTATTTTTAGTAGAGACAGGGTTTCGCCAAGTTGGCCAGGCTAGTCTCGAACTCCTGACCTTAGGTGATCCACCTGCCTCAGCCTCCCAAAGCTCTGGGATTCCAGTGGGGAGCTACTTGCCCCTGGCTGCACTCTGCACTCTCAGTTCTGCATGCTCCTGACTTCTAGCTGCACCTGGATCTCACATAGGATGAGGGAGGGCACCTTTTGCAAAGCCATGTGGAGGCTTTAGACTGTGTGGAATGGGGGAGAAAGGGGTGAGCCCACATCCTCAAGGAGGAGGATGTCTGAGTCAGGTCTACACCCTGAATTGGGCAGATACAATCTTGTGCGGCCTGAATTGTATGCAATTTGGGGGCTCTTTTTAAAGAAAATAGTGTTAGCTGACTATATTCCTGACCAGTGAGGACTTCTGGTTTAACTAGGTATTGGTGGGAAATAAATCCTCCCCTTGTGACTAAGGGCAAGAAGAATTTCCCACATCTATAATAATCATGAAAGTGACAAGGGATTGAGTACCTGCTACATGCCAGGCAATAAACAAGATTCCTAGGAGGGACTGGCAGTGAGGACATGAGAGAGCCTCTGCTCTGACTTGTCCCTTTCAGCTCCTGCTGGTTTATCAGTCTAGCGATTTTTGACCGGATGCTGGGCATTGTGAATTTTATGTGTTGAATGCTAGGGTGCACTGTCTTCCTTTTGAGGGTGTTTTGGCAGACTTAAGTTACTTGCCAGCCATCTCAATCCTTTTGCAGTTTGCATCTAAGCTTTGTTAGAGTGGATTTAGAATAGCTGTAATCTAGGGCTAGTCTAGACCTGCCTCTAAAGCATGACCCTTCTGAGGTCTCTGCTGAATGCCCCAGGTGTCTAACAAGGACTCCCCACTCTGGATGGTCAGAACTCAAACATCTCCCAGTCCCATGTGAACTCCAGAATCATCCAGCTTACTGCTCCCCAGCAGCTTTTGTGCTTAGTCCATAGCATTGCACTTGATGTATGTGTATCTTAGTGTTCAAACACAGACACAAAGGGGAATTCCCTGATGATTTACAAAGCGCTCTCTCTCCCTCTCTGTTGCTCCTTCTTCTCTGACACTCTGGCTTGCAAAATCCAGCTGCATCTGCCTCTCCAGTCTGGATCCATGTCTCTTCCACTCATTGAGACCACTGCAGTCTCTGTGGTCCCCTCCACATGTAGGCTGTGCCTCCAGACACAGAGTGTTCATGGGACTCAGCTCATTTGGGTCTTTTCTCTCAAAGAACAGAGCAATACCCTAGCCCCTATCTAGTGCTGGAAACGGCTGCTCTAGCTGTTTTGCTGTTTTCTGGTTCTTCACGGTGGGTGCAGAGTCTGAAGCTGGTGACTCCCTTGTGGCCGAAGGCAGAAGTCTCCTGGTTCCATTCACATCAGACCTCATTTCTTCTTCGCCCAGCACCTCCAGTGCAAGTGCCTGTAGTTCCTGTTCATACTCGAGATGCCCTCTGGCCCTGGCCCTTTGTGGTGATACTGGCATGGCACCGATGCTCTCGGAAGCCACTCCTGTGCCAGGATGGCACTTGATGTATGTGTATCTTAGTGTTCAAACAGACACAAAGGGGAATTCCCTGATGATTTATGAAGTGCTCTCTCTCCCTCTCTGTTGCTCCCTCTTCTCTGACACTCTGGCTTGCAAAATCCAGCTGCATCTGCCTCTCCAGTCTGGATCCATGTCTCTTCCACTCATTGAGACCACACCACATACAGAGAAAGAAGGGACCACAGGAACATCAGCAGGAAAAATCCACATTAAATGAGGTGCCAGCTCAACTGGCTGTGGCCCCACTGATGCCACCTGGCATAGAAAGGTGAGTGGTGGAGAAAGCTGGAGCGCTGGAGTCAGCAGTCCCAGCAAGATATAGTTAAAAACCCCTCGCTTTTGACACATTTACGAAATGCAGAGGGACGTGAGCACATTGCAGGCCTCTCCCAGGGCCTTGGAGAGGCCAGCATCATAGTCAGCATTAGCTGGGGCAGGCCAAGTGTCCTGTGGAGAGCACTGACCCCTGGGGGCTTGGCCCCTTCATGCTGGTGGCCAGAGAGGCATCTGAGATCCCTGCTGGCTCCTGAGCTGTTGATGCCTCCTAACATCTTACCCGCCATTCTCCCTCTGCCCCTCCTCAGTTACTATGTTAATGCCTGCATGCTTCTAGACTGTTCTCAGGGGTGGCTCTGACTGCATCTCAAATCTCTTTCCCACATTGTGACAGGAGTCATTTTTGAAGGACAAAGCTTAGGTTCTTTCTGCATGGAGTGTCATGCGTGGTCTGGGTTTACCTGGCCCTACCTGTTCTCTGGCCCACCTGCCCACGCTGGCACTCCTTCTGGCCCTTCCTGCCTCTGCTCAAGTGGCTGGCTCTGTGAGGCCGAGGCTGGCACACCTCCCTTGGGGCCACTGTTCCTTTCACAGCTGGACACCACCTTCCTGTCCTTGTCTAGATGCTTGTGGATTCACCGTGTCCCCCAAGGACTGTAAACTCCAGGGGAGCACGGAGCTTATGTCTCAGGTGCCATGGAGGCTCCCCTTCTGGGCTAGCCTAGGCTGTGGCACAGATGCTACCCACCTGCCCATCTGCTGTCAGACCAATGAGGAGCCTGTAGCTGGGCTGCCTGGAGCTCATGGGGCTTGGGTACAGGCCCCAGAATGAAAAGTCATCAGTGAGTCACTGGGAGAGGCTCATGGAGAGGGTCCCCGAGGCTGCACCCAGAGGACACAGGCCACGACATCTAGGATGCTGGTCCTGCTGAGGCCCGCTCTTGGCTGATTTCCTCACTTGTGAGTGCTGAGTGCTGTGAGCACCTCTCCTCTGCCGGCTAGTCGTCTTCCTCTCTGTTGTTTATTAATTTCTGCTCTCCCACTGACTTCCTCCTTTTCTCGGCTGCTCTTTTCCAGATTTCTTGTGTAGAACACAACTCATTTACGCTCACAACTTTCTCTTTCTTTTAAAAATACACCTTTAAAAGATTCCTTTATGTCTGAGTGAGGTGTCAGCTTAGCCATACCCCAGTTCCTGACGAGATACGTTTACTGCAATTTGTTTCTAACATTTTTGTCATTTTCTTCGGATTTCTTTTTTTAATCCTAAATCATGAGGCGTATAACCAATTCCAAATAGGCAGACGGAAGGACGCTACACAGACGCAGACAGACATATATGCAACCGCCTTTCACTGCACCCTGGTCACAGAATACGTTCTACTTGGTATTCTTTGAAGTTCATTTTGGTTTCCTTTGTGACTTGATTGTGGTGATATTTGTAAACGCACCAGTGCTTTCCATAAGAATCCATGTTCTCCCTTTCCAGGTGCAGGCTTGTATCTGTTTTTACTTGCCTGCCCATCTACCACCTGGTCACTCGAGTTTGTTCACTGTGCTTCTTCAAGCCACCCAGACTCTGGTCCCTTCTCATGTGGAATCTTCAGCCCTATTTGTTCAACAAGAGCTGAGGATTCACCCAGGCCCCCAACCAACCTCAGGACCCAGGGCCCATCCACACACCACCTACCCAGCTGTCCCTCTATTCTCCCACAGAGGGTGAGCAGGGTGCAGGGAGCTCTGGCTGTGGCCAACTCACCTGTCTGGTGGCACTGAGCAATAGCTGCTTGGGCAAAGTCCTTGATTTTCTTGTACTTCTGCAAAAAACTCTCCAAAAACTGCGCAGCTTCCTGAACAGGAACTCCAAGGCAAGCAGCAAGCCGCTCCTTTCCTGTCAGTCAGAGAGATGCATGTCAAGGCCTCACTCAAACCAGCTATGACCACGGGCATGGGCTCAGTAAGTTGGGTCCAGTTGGCAGCACTGGTCTTTTCTGATGGGTTGGGATGAAGTTGGCGTTGGCTAGGTGCCAATCACTCTGGACTGGGGCCTGCGACACATGTATTTATTCAGTGATATTGACTCAGTGCCTGCCAGGTATTTCAGGTGACATGGTGGTGAAGTAGATACGGTCCCTCCTCCCAGTGTGGCTAGGGGGAGACCCAATTCCAGAACTATGAATGTTAGAGTGGGGCACAGACGAAAAGAGGAAGGGAAAGTTCCACGGCCAAAGCGCGAGAAAATGGTCCTCAGGGGTTCACTATTTTGTTCTAGAGGATGCAGGTGTTCCTGTGATGCTGCTGGTAGAAATGTCTCTGGTTGGGCCAGGCATGGTGGCTCACGCCTGTAATCCCAGCACTTTAGGAGGCAGAGGTGGGCAGATCACTTGAGATCAGGAGTTCAAGATCAGTCTGGGTAACAAAGTGAGGACTTGTTTCTATTTACTGAAAAGAAATAAAGGTCCTTGGCTGGGCAGCAGCTGAGTTCCAGCAAGCATGTGAGCAGGTTCAGTGACCACAGAAGCCTGGCTCTGGGCCCAGTCCCACCAGGAGGTTCTGTGTGGCCCTGGGGATGTTGCCTGGCCCACAGCAAAGGCTGTTCCTTCACTGTATATTAGGAACGAGAGCCCTTATCCCCAGCTGGGAGCCCCATGATCCAAGGCATGGGAAGCTCTAAGCAGTGCGTGGTTCCTACTTGGTACTCAATATACACTCATTCCCTCCCGTTTTCCTCCAGAAGAGAATAACGGTGTAAATAGAGAATGAGGAATCCATGAGGACATCATCCCTCACTTGACAGTGGGATCACAGGGAAAGCCGTGGCTCTGGGGAGTGGTGTATCATTAGAAGGAACCCCAGAGAGACAAGCAGCCTGAAGACCTGCCTTCCCGGGGGCAGCATGTCTGGGACCAGCAGTGGTTTTGCTGTCCTCTGTGCGAGGTTAACTCTGGGGTTGTCCTACATGGTGCTCCAGGGACCTCTGGACAGGATGGTGCAGAAAACGTGGCCCAGAGGGTGAAGGTGTTGGGTCTGTGAAGAGCAGGGAAGAACCCTCTGGAGGAATGGGATCGACTGGCCTCTCTTATCCAGCCCTCCTTTCAGCCAGGCTACTCCTGGCCCTGGCCAGCTGATGGCACAGCAGCTCTGGATAGAGAGAATATTCAAGTCTTGGGAAAGTGAAAGGGCAGGTATTTGCTTCTGCTGCTTTGCCAGCAAGCGTTGGAAGGTTGGGTACCCTGTCCTCCCAAAGTTTACCCCAGCAGAGAGGGATAAAGTTATGATCCTTCTTATGCCCAGATGGACTGATGAATTGGCACCATTTGGCTGGAAAAGAAAAATCTCCAATATCCCTTTTACGGCTTAAGACCTATTATTGTGATATCTTCACAAATAAGTTATGTGTTTTGCTATACTTTTACTGAAATAATTCATCTATGGCTCTTTCTTTCTGTCAAATTCCAATTACCACACTTACCTAGTGCCTCAGCTATGGCACTGCAATGAAAAATTCCATTGGCTCTCAGAAAGAAGTCAGATGGCAGCTAGACACACAAGGTCAGCCAGATGGGACTTGCCTTCAGTAGCTTCTTAGATAAATCTTTTCTTACCTCCAGTCTGCTGTTAAGCCCATATGGTGAATTTTTTTGAGATGGAGTCTCCTTCTGTCGCCCAGACTGGAGTGCAGTGGTGCGATCTCAGCTCACTGCAACCTCTGCCTACTGGGTTTAAGTGATTCTCCTGCCTCAGCCTCCTGAGTAGCTGGGATTACCATGCCTGGTTAATTTTTTTTTTTTTTTAAAGAAGAGACAAGGTTTCACCATGTTGGTCAGGCTGGTCTTGAACTCCTGATCTTGTGATCCATCCACCTTGGCCTCCCAAAGTATTGGGATTACACACATGAGCCACCACACCTGGCCAAATTTTTTATTTGGGGTATGCAGTTTTCAGTTCTAGAATTTCCATTTTAGAATTTTATTTGTTGAAGTTTTCCTTTTTTCATTTATTGTGAGCATATTTTCTTTTACTTCCTCGAGCTTAGTTATTAATAGCAACTTTAAAATCCTTGTCTGTTAATTCTAACATCCGAGTCATCTCGGGATCTGCTTCCATGATTGCCTTTTCTTGAGTATGGTCAAGTTATTCTGTTTCTTCCTGTTTAGGAATTTGGGGTTGTGTGCTGGACATCGTGTAAGATATGTGTAGAGTTTTGGACCCTGTTATGTTCTTCTAAGGAGTGCTATGTTTTTTTTGAAACAGTGTCTTGTTCGTACCCAGGCTGGAGGGCAATGGTGTGATCATAGCTCGCTGCAGCCTTCAACTCCTGGGCTCATGCAATCCTCCTGCCTCAGCCTTCTGAGTGGCTGGTCCACAGATGTATGCCCACCATGCCTGGCCAAGGAGTCCTAGTTCTTTTTAAAGGGACACTTAGTTCAGCTAAAATCGAACTTCAAACTCTGCCTCCTTGCAGTGGGAAAACACTGGAATCTCAGGTCAGTCCTTTTGCCTTGGCTTCTGGGTTGTTTGAAGTCTGCCCCATTCATGTATAGTTAGGGGTCAGCCAAGATCTGAGCAGAGTTCGTGCCTACAACTTGGCCTCATTTCCTGGCTCTCTTCTTTCTGGAATTTCTCCCTTCACTTTCCAGATTCTCTGGTTGCCCAGAACTCTGTCCTCCAGTTATTCAAGCTAGTAGGATTGCACGTTCCTAGCAGAGTTTCTATCCACACAGCATCAAGTGAGGTTGCCTTCAGGTGAGGAGCTAGAGAATGAGAGTTCACCATTCCTTTCTTCCAGGTGTCAGGTGACCTCCAGTTTCTGCTGCTCTGGTCGCTTCCCAGTGCCTCTGAGTAGTTGTCTTTCTATACATTTTCCAGTTTGTAGTTGATCCCTGTGGGATGGCTGCTCTACTGGGAGCGACTTGGCCATCATAAGTCATGCCTCTCTTTCTAAATTCTTATGGCCGAGGGAGAATCCCTTTCCTTTCTTCTGTGGAGCTGCCAGGATCTCCAAAGAGCAGTGGGTGGCCCCAGTCCCTATGCATGAAGAGTGCAGACGGCACAGTGGTTCCACAGCAGCAAGGATGAGAGACTAATATGGAGCTTGAGGGTCTGAGAGGCCTCCCAGGCCCTGGATCCTTGCTCCTCACTCCTTGGACACTCTTAGCAGTGGGACTGTCATGCTAAAAGGCTGCTGTCCCTTCCCCAAGCAGGTTTGCTTCTGGCTCTGTGGGGATTTCTCTGTCCCATGCTTCCTGTGGACTGCTCCTTCTTTTCATAGAACTTGCCCTCGTGCTGTCATTCCGTTGATCCCGTTTTACACACAGGCCCTGAGAGATCTGCATGCTGGGGGCACTGAGTACTCCCTCCTCTGACATCCTACATGAACACATAACTGGACTCTTCCCAGACAGCTAATCCTGTCTGGTGAGCACACATGAGTCTAGGTATGTGTGTGTGCTACAATTTTAACTTCAGCATGGAGTCTTCACTCCCTTTTCTCCATATGCCCTTCTGCCCCACACATGTTGCTGACAGGTTTTCACTTCTGCTTGTGTCTCTAGGGCCAAGCAGGTGCCTGCACACAGTGGGCCTTCGGGAACGTGGCTGGTCTAGCTGGAACAGATGTGACATTAAGTCCTATACTGCTTTCAAAACTCAGCTCAGGGGTTGCTGGTCTAGGCTGGCCCCTGAACTCTCCCGACTCTCCCCAGGCTGGGGCCCTCCCTTGGCTCCCTTGGCACCAGGGATTCCTGCAGATGCACTGATGGCATAGTCTGTGTGCCCAGGCCTTCTCCTGGGTCTCTGCTGGTGGCCGCAAGTCCTTGGGAGCAAGTCCTTGGGAGCAGGCCCCAGGCCAGATGACATGCACTTAGCACAGGCCTGTTGATTGCACAATGATTGGATGTGGAGGTTAACTTCGGAGTCATGGAGTCACCTGAGAAGACTCAAGGGCTCAACTCTAGGAGCAATAGGTGCTCAGAGCAAGACCCAGGGGTCAGGAGCTACTTCCAGGAGAAGGCAGATTCCTGCTGGGTCCAGCAGCAGCTGTGAGCAGGCCCGTAAGGCTGGGGAGGTGCCTGCAAAGCTAATGGGCATCTGAATTCAGTCGGCTGATGGAGGAGCAGTAAGCCTGTGAGCCAGCCTCTGGGGTCAAGGCTCCCAGACAGTGGCTGCTCTGTCACTCCGTGTGCTCCCTGCCAGCTCCTCCACAGTGACTGTGGGGGCAGAGCACACAGATCCAGCACCCGGGGCACTCCCCTGCCTCTCACACAGTCCTGCTGCCTCCTCTGCTGTTTTCATCGCAGTCTTCACAACGGTCATGTCACCCATTTCTCAAGAATGTGTAGGAGCCATGCCCTGCCCCATGCCCCCAGCATTTGTGGGCCCTTCAGAGGTATGTTACGTGAAAACATGGCACTGCAATCCACTGAAAACTAGCTCCTCTAGAGAATTTCCAAAGGGTGCCCAGCAGCCTGGAAGGCCTGGCAAGTTCACCTGGCTTCCTGAGTCCCAGCTCATGTGACAAAGTTTCCAACACAAGGAGAACAGAGACACAGTCTGAGCCCACAGCAGCAGATGCACAGTAATTCCAGCTGTCAAGCCAGACAGAAACAATGGGAGGCTCAGGGTGGGAACTCGTGTCACTGTCACAGCTAAGAGCAGCCAAATTACCCTTTTCAACATTAGGCTAATGACTCACTGCTTATTTACGAAATGTGGCTGTTTTCCTCTCCAGAAAAGAAAGAAAGAGAGTGAATACTACAGAAGGAGCCAAAGGGGTGGCAGAGAAGGCCACCTTTTTCTGGGTAGGTGGGGGCACAGCCTGCCTCACGGCAGGTGCTCGGCACGCTCAGCCTCCAATCCTTCCTCCTAGCTGGATATGGGGTGGCTGCCCCAGCCAGAGACAAGGCCAGGGCTGCCACAGGAGACCTACAGATCAGTCACTTGGAAGCATTAATTGACATGGCACAGAAGTGAAGTAGGACTCAGATGACAGAGATGACAGCTGATACCCCACCCACCGTACCACCCTATGAGAGCATTCCCCAGGAAGAGATGGCACAAGGAGGCAGAGAGCCTTGTACAAACCACGCAGTCAAGGAGGTGACAGGGTTGGGATCAAGCCCAGGTTGCCTGGCCCAGGACTGGGGAGGTGATGTCTTGCTGGCAGAGCAGAAGCAAATGTTATGTTTGCAACACAAGATGCCAGAGCAAGGATGCAAGGCAACAAACTCTCACAGAATTTGGCAGTGATGGTTTCCCCCAAGACAGGGACCCCAGGGAGGCTCAGGGGTCCAGCACAGAAGAAAGAGGCTGAGAGAAGGCAGTGGACCAAGCAGCTCTGAAGAGAATCAACCCAATGTCACACCACTGCCACTCACAGAATCTAGTTCTTCAAAACAAAGTTTCATAGGCTATTTTCCAAAAACCATGTACACAATCAAACTGTTTTTAAAAGTGGAGCTGAGACCACCAAGTCCACTAATTTGTTCCTGTGTCTTCTCTGTGCCAGGCAGTGAATTAAGCTGATGAGCTCCTATCTCTGAGGCGCCCATATTCGAGCTGGGGCACGAGACCATGAACAGGTGAGCGGGTGAAGAGCTGGCGTCTCTTGCTCCCTTGCTGGTTTGAAGAGCAGAGCTGCCAAGATGCAGGCTCTGCCCAAGGTGTAAGACCCACGTGGCAAGGAGCTGAGATCACCTCTGGCTGACAGCCAGCAAGAAACAGCAGCCGGCTGGGCATGGTGGCCCATGTCTGTAATCTCAGCACTTTGGGAGGCCAAGGTGGGCAGATCACTTGAGGACAGGAGTTCAAGACCAGCCTGGCCAACATGGTGACACCCTGTCTCTACCAAAAATATAAAAAATAAGCTGAGCATGGTGGCAGGCGCCTGTAATCCCGACTACTCAGGAGGCTGAGGCAGGAGAATTGCTTGAGCCTGGGAATTGGAGGTTGCAGTGAGCCGAGATTGCGCCATTGCAGTCCAGCCTGGACAACAGAGCGAGGCTCTGTCTCAAACAAACAACAAACAGACAACAAAGAAACAGAAGCCAAGACAATGGATCTCCCCCAGTTGAGCCACAGACGCAACTACAGCCCCAGCTAAGACCTTGACTGCAGCCCTGCAGGGGACCCGGCTATGGCATGCCCACACCCAGAGAACTGTGAGGTAGTGTGCATTATTTTAAGTCACTACGTTTGTGGCAATTTGTTACCCAGAAGTGGTAACCACTACTGTGGCTGAGGAAGCTTGCACAGGGGAGAGTTGAGCACAGGTCTGCAGAAGTGAGGGCGGGCTCTGGTGGTGACGGGGAACAGCAGTGCAAAGCCGAGGCTGGAGCTGGCCTGGCTGGTTGGTAGCGGTTCAAGACAGGCCATCCATCCACAGTCCCAAGGTGGGGCACTCTGGACGCTCATCCAGCAGCACCACAGTCTCAATGGAGACTGCAGGGCAGCTCTTAGGGACAATCTACGAAGTGCTTGCCCCGTTATTCTTCCATTGAAGCCTGGTTTTGCTGCCTTTCTGTGAATACACAAAGGGTTTCCATGGTAGGGTGGTGAATCTTCTTCTCAGGGTCTCTGCACAAGCCCTGCTGCTCATCATAGGGAAAGGAGGTCTGAAAGGCTTAAGAAGGAGCTGGCTGGCTGGGGAAATTAGGCCACACTGATTCAGCATCACTAAGGGCCAGAAAAGAATTAAAAAGTCTCGGACAGCCCATGTCAGGGAGTCAAAGGGAGAGTCAAAGAGAGGTAGACGGCCTGCTCTGACATGGGTGTTGGGGCTGGGAGCTAGGAGGAAGGAGGGAGAGGAGTAGAAGGGAAGAGAAAAGGGGAAGGGAGAGGGGTGCTTATAGAAGAGGCCCCAGCCAGCCCAAACCTCTGGTCCTCCAGCCCTTCCTGGCCTAGCCCCGCTTCCTCCTGTCTGCTGCCCCTGACGTTGGACCCCCACCGCCCTGCTCACAGCCCAAGGCCTGCCCTCTGTGGGGTGCTTTGGCTGCGTGGCCGAGCTGGGTGAGCTCTGCCCTAGGGAGCTGGGGTGCGTGCTGAGATGTGGCAGTGAGTCCAAGTGCTGCACACCTTGAGGCTAAGCTGTCTAACTTTATCATGCCTTGGCATGTGTGTGGACCAGGGTCTCCTCAAAGGTCTCCAAGCACAGCAGTGGTGCCTAGCACAGTGGTATGGTGTAGAGGTGGGGCCAACAGCTTGGTCACACTGGACCTGCCCACATCCATGGCCTCCCCTGAGAGGCTGAGCAGGTCAAGGTGTGGGGTGGTCTGGCCAGTGTCTGGTGGCCACAGGTGTCAACAGAGCATTAACAACACCCAGGAACTCACAGATGATCTCTGAGGCACAGCCACATTTAAACACAGGTACACGGCTGTCAGCTTACAGGTGACCCCCGAGACTCTTGCTCCTGGCCCGCAGCCTACCTGCTCCATAGACCACTGAGTACACCACCTTCTTGGTTTGCTCTCTGTCTGCATGTGTCACATGTTCCACGGGCACGTCCTTCCTGCATGGAGAGACCATGTGTGTTCAGGCACAGGAGGCACTGTCAGTGCAGGGCAGACAGTCTAACCACATGCCCTATCACTGCGCTTCCTCTGGAAATTCTTCACGGTTTCACGGCAGCTGGCACACTGGCAGGAAGATGTTCCACACCTGCAGTGCCAGCTTGGTAAGGGCCCCAGGCAGATACCTACGGTGAGGCTGCAGCAGCTGCTGCTGGCCAAGCACCATCCCACATTCCCGGGCTTCCACAAATCAAAACTCAAAACTGCTTTCACCAAAGGCATGCCCACCCAACTTCAGGAAAGCCCATCCCTCATGTTGAGGTGCCTGGGCCTGGGCCATGTCTGTGTCTGCTGCAGTGGTGGGGGCGCTGATTTCGAGGCCTATCTAGTACCACTGCTTGACTAGATGAGCAGCTCTGTGCTGGCTTCCCACAGACAGAGGCCATGGGGGTGAGTCCCACCCTGGAGCTACAGCATTCAGATAGAATAAGGATCAACTCAATATCTGACCGGCATCTGAACCACAGCAATCTCCAGAGATTAAAGCTGAGACATCTGAGTAGCACAGGAGCTCCAGGGCACTCTCAGCACCACCAAGAGGCCCCCCTCCTCCAAGAGCACCCCCAAAGGACAGGCAGCCTACCATGTGCCCTGAGTGTTGCCTCCTGCCTGCTGCTTTTGTAAACATCCTTGTCATCTACACCAGTCCTTCCTGATGGAGTGGGTATCTCAGATTCAGAAGCTGAGGGGGGCAGAGGAAGGGAAGGAGAAAGGGGAATGGAGGGAGAAAGGGGGAAGGAAAGAGAGGGGAGAGAGAGAGAAGGAGAGGAGAGAGAGAGAGAGACAGAGAGAGACAGAGAGAGAACAGAGAACAAAAAAAGTAACAGAAACTTCTCCCAGTCTGTTTTGTGGCTGGCTCTGTGCTAGCGCCTGCTTCATTACTTAGCTAGGCTGTTCACAGCTCTACCTTAGCCTTCACTTCCTGCCTGCACTGAGCATAGAGACCAGCCTCAGGTCTTCCTAGATCTCTGAGCATGCAAGCTCCCTGGGCATGCATGGGGCGTTCTACATTTCCTGGTATCTACAGGTACTTCTGAATGCTCTAATTTCCAAAAGTGTCTCTCTCCTCAGTTTTTTTTCGTCCAGAGCTTTCAGTGCTCCATTGTTTGCCTCAACTATAATTTTTAGCTCCAGGCAGCTGGAAGTTATTTGCCTTACAATGTTTTCAAGCAATGTCTGCCACTCTTCTGCAGCAAGTGGGTTCTGAGTTAGGTGAAACAATGACAAGCCCCTGCGTCAGCCCTTCAGGCAGCCACTGGACTAGTGAGAATAAACACCCACTTCTTTTCGAGTAAGGTGTGCTCTGCCTCCAGATGCAGGGACCAGGCCCCATGCTAGGAACATGCTGCTGCCTTCAAGATTGACCGGTGGGAGGAGGGCAAGCAGGGTCATCACAAGGCTCTACTTTTTTTTTTTTGAGATGAAGCCTGACTCTGTCACCCAGGCTGGTGGGCAGTGGTGTGATCTCGGCTCACTGCAACCTCCGCCTCCTGGGTTCAGGTGATTCTCGGGCCTCAGCCTCCTGAATAGCTGGGATTACAGGCATCTGCCACCATACCCAGCTAATTTTTACATTTTTAGTAGAGATGGGGTTGTACCATGTTGGCCAGGCTGGTCTCACACTCCTGGCCTAGTGATCTCCCTGCCTTGGCCTCCTAGAGTGCTGGGATTACAAGCGTGAGTCAGCACTCCCAGCCTGCCTTTTTCTTGATTCAGCATTTGCTTGCTTGCTGTAAACCTCTGACTGTTTTTCAAAGTTTTTATGTAGTTGGTTCTGAAGTTTTATTAGCTTTTTCAATGTTTCTTTGGGGGACAGGCCCATGGGGCTGTGTACCTGCCATTCTTGCTGACATCCCAGACTTCACTGATTTTTTGGCACCTAATTTCTAAGTACCAATGCATTTCCAGATTTTCCCCCTTTTCCTGCTGTGTTAAACTATTTTGCCCCCTTTGTTTAGCTCGCCCTTAATCTTGACACTGTTAACAGCTGTATTTAGATAAAAAAGCAAAAAGCCAAATGGGCTGGGTGCAGTGGCTCAAGCCTGTAATCTCAGCACCTTGCAGGGACAAGGTGGAAGGATCAGCGGAGGCCAGAAGTTCGAAACCAGTCTCTACATAAAAGAAAATTTAAAAAATTAACTGGGCATGATGGTATGCACCTGTGGTCCCAGCTACTCAGGAGACTGAGGTGGGAGGACTGCTTGAGCTTGGGGGCGTGGAGGCTGCAGTGAGCCATGACTGTGCCACTGCCCTCCAGCCTGGGTGACGATGAATAAACAACTACATGACATTTTTGTAGAATATCTCATAAAATATTTTTAAATTTAATCAAATGAAAATGATCATAGAGGTCTTGGTAAATTTAGATAGATACCAGGTACATAAGCAAGGGAAGGAGCTAGAATGATCCATGGGTAATGTGTTAGTACTGCAGACATCAGTATGAACTCATGGTAAGCTCTATGTCGATGCACATGGTTACAGAGAGGAATATTTAAAGATATGTGTATATACACAGGTTGGCATGCATGCATAACTTCTTGTTCTGTCAGCTGAGAAAACCTAGAAGCAACCTGCTCAGTAGCAAAGAGCACTGAGCACCCAGACTTTGCCTTTTAATACCATTCTCCAGTGAAAGAATGGGGCTCCTTGGAGAAATGGCTGATTCCAGGACTGGGGCAGGAAACATACAAGAGGAGCCTGGAAGGTCTTTTAGTGCCAGTAAACAAGAAAGTGATAAATGTGTATGCGCGCACGTGCACACACACACCCGCACACACACACGTAAACGCACACACACGCGCACACACACGCGCACGCACACTCACTCACGCACACACACACGGAAACACGCACACACGCGCACGCACACTCACACGCACACACACGCACACTCACACACACATGCACACACGTGCACACACACACACATGCACACACGCACACGAGGTCAAGTCAAAGGGACACAGGAGCCAACTGCAAGAGGTCCCAATGGCCAAAGCTGTTACAATTTAGGTAAGAAAATAAAAAGCATTAGATTATAACTCAAAGTAAAAAATAAACATTCATGAATCCATGCTGATTTGGATTTAAATGATTAAATAAATAAATGGGGGCAAACACAAATCTCCCACACAGAAGAAATCCAAATAATTTATATAGATAACCTGTCCTTAGAAAGACGAAGCATATCTCCCCCTCCTTAATTACATACAGGCTGTGCTTAGTGACTTGCTCTTAAAGGGTAGGTGCCATGTGGAATCGGGGTAGAAAGGAGTATCTTTACGGTAGAGAAACCTGACAAACGCCTTCAGCCAGGTGACCAGGTCAGCATCAGAAGCGGTAAGTCCTGTGGACAGTGTGTGTCCCTGACTCAGTGTGATGGTGATGGCCCTGCACCTCTGTGCTCAAACCCCAAATCCCAGTATAGTCATGAGAAAAACATCAGACAAACACCAATGGAGGGACATTCTGCAAAATACCTGACCAGTCCTCCTTAAAACTGTCAGGGTCATTGAAAACAGGGCAAGTCTAAGAAAGTGTCGCCATCCAAAGGAGCCTAAGGAGACTGTGACTAAGTGGTGTCATGGAGGGGGTCCTGGAGCAGAAAGGGGACAGCAGGGAAAGACTGAGGAGATCCAAGTCAAGCGTGGACTTTAGTTTATGACAACATATCAGTACTGGGTTCATTCATTGTGACACATGTACCATATTAATGGAAAACATTAATAACAGAGAAGCAGGTGTGGGATGTATGAGAACTCTTCGTACTATCCTTGCCATTTTTTATATAAATTTAAAATGGTTCTAAAATAAAAAGTTTATTTAAAAAAGTGATCTAGTACAAGACCAGCCTGGGCAACATGATGAAACCTTGTCTCTATTAAAAATACCAAAAAATTAGCCAGGTGTGGTGATACATGCCTGTAGTCCCAGCTATGTGGGGGGCCTACACAGGAGGATCACTGCAGCCTGGGAGGTTGAGGCTGCAGTGAACTGAGATTGTGTCATTGCACTCCAGCCTGGGTGACAGAGTAAGACCCTGTCTCAAAAAAAAAAAAGAAAGAAAGAAAGAAAAAAAGAGGGAGAGAGAGCGAGCCAAAAATTATGCTAGGTTACAAATAATTTATATGTTATAACTTGATTTTAAGTTATATAATTGCAGATAAATATATGGGGGAAATCCCATAAGTAAGTCTGGTAGGCTTATGGAAATTTGGTTTTTGTTGTTTTGATAACTGGTATTTAAATTTTTTCCAACCAATGAAAACTATAAAGAAAAAAATGAGCCATAAAAAATTCCACAGTAGATGGGAGGGATCCAAGATGGCCAAATAGGAACAGCTCTGGAGTGCAGTTCCCAGTGAGAATGCAGAAGGTGAGTGATCACTGCATTTCCAAATGAGTTTTTACTGCCCACAGACCAGTAGATTCCTGGGTGGAAAAGCACCACAAGTTTCCAGCACAGCTGTTTCAGCCAGTGCAGCAGGTCTCTGCACAAAAACTCACACAAATCTGGGTGGCTGTTTCAACTGGCACCTGGAATGCCTGGGAGACAGAGTCACCCATTCAACTGACAAAAAGGGGGCTGAAACAGGGAGCCAGGTGATCTGGCTCAGTGGGTCCCACCCCCACAAAGACCAGCAATCTGAAACACTTTGGATTGAGAGTTTCACAGCAAGCACAGCTGGACTCAGGATGGTCCTGCTCTGTTGTGGGGAAGGGCATCCACCATTATCAAGGCATTCCACCACTACTGAGGCAGTCCATCATTACTGAGGCAGTCTGCCATTCCTGAGGCAGACCACCATTACCGAGGCAGTTCTAACTATACCTTTACAAACAAAACTGCAAGGAAGTTCACATAGCAGCTGGGCAGAGCCCACAGTAGCTCAGCAATGACTCTGCTGGCAGATTGTGACTAGGCTACCTCCTTGCT